CACTCACTCCTGATGGCTGTTGGCGGGTCTGGAAACTGAGCAGCCTAAACTCGGGGTCATCAGCATCTCGTTCCAACTTCGGTTCCTTAAATCACAGGAGCGGATGCCGAAGCAGCTCCAGGGGGTGCAGGTGGCTCACCTGATTGAGCCTGGCGGGCACCGGTGGAACGGCTGAAGAGTCTGATATCACAATTATCAAACACTCAGCTGCTTTCAGATGGCCAATGGCAGCGCCTGTCCTCACATCTTACACCGTAGGCGTTTTGAGGCTCTTTGATCCCTTTTTGGCAGACTTTTCGGGCAGCCTTCTGTGTGGTGAGGGCGTTGAGTCATGCGAATTTCCAACGTTTCACAACGTAGATTGCGCAAAACCAGACCATTTGCGAACACAGCCGTTGTCGAGGTTTGTCAAAGTTTCCTGGTGCGAATCCCCGGATTCCACCTTGCCACTTTGGATTGTGCCTTTTCATTCACCGGGTGGAGGAATGTCAAGAGGATATAGAACCCGCAGATGACGTGGGAGTTGCCGGACATACCCAAAAAACGCAAACTCCCCTTTTCATTTGTAGCTCTCGAGGTATCTCGAGGCATTGGTAGCAATCCTGTGTGACCTCAGAGATTTCAGAAGTGGCTTCAAGGACGACTTGCCTTCAGCTTCAAAGTTGACAACACACTGTCACCACAGTCCCAAACCCACACAACAGCCAAGGGGAAAAAGCAGTTGTCGCGTGCCTAGATGGAGCAAAGAATGTCAACCCACAGTCTCCAGATAGCTGGTTTCTAATAGATAGAAGGGCCACTTGAGCATTTGCCACGACTCGGACAACTTGCACCACTCACAACCTCGCAGCAGCCAGGGTCTCTGGCAACATAGACTTGGCGGGGGTAGTGGTATTTCTCCGTTGGGAGTACAAGAGTGACGTCAGACACCAGCTGCCTTCAGAGGTTTCGAGATAGGCAAACGCTTTTGCCATATGTGGGCTGTTTGATCCTGACCACAACAGGCATGAGGAGCCACATCTTCGGCATGAGCCCATTATTTTTGTTCTCGGCATTGCCAGAACCAGACTTTTTGGCAAAGGTGATCAGCAGAACAGTCGAATAAAACGTCTGGTTGCTTCGGTTAAATCACTGTCAGGTGACAGGCTCGGGATAGCTGCCTGACGCCAAAAGATACACTTTGCTCCGACTGACACAGAAAGTTGCAGTAAGGTAGTACTTCGTTGTGCATCAGAGATGGCAGAAGTAGATGACTCCTGTTTCTTGAAAGCGGCTGTTGCCTGCCATGAACGTGCAACCGGAGGCCTCAGGCATTAACTGATCATAATCTTGAAAACATAAGCCGCAATCACGTGACGTGAGGAATGCTTGGGAGAAAAGGTTCACGAAGTTCCTTGACTAGATTCGGCACTCAGCTTGAAGCCCACCTGAAAACTCGGCTTTCGGTTGCTGACACTGTTCCCATATTTAATGAGATGGTGCAGCCCAAGATTTTTCCATCGCCTCCATCTGAAGAATTCTGAAGGTACGGCCTTTTTGGCAGAGCCAAAGTTTCCAATGTTTGGATGTGCGAGTGACCGCTACTTAACTGCTAATTTCTTATTCACATTCCGGCAGTTTCAAGAGTGTGCCTTTCAGTGCGGAAGGCCAAACGACACCGGTCTCTAAGCCTGGGAGTATCGCAGTGGCACCAGCTAAAATCGGGGTTGGGGGGCCAGTGCTTTTGCGCCCAAGGCCAAAGAGAAGTAAACCTCTGGGCCTTCGCTTCCGCTGCTCACAGAGTTGCAGCTGCTAGCATAGCTTTAGCTACATTCACACGAAGTACTTTGAAACAGATGTCTTGGTTTGAAAAGCTTTTCATTTTCAACTTTCCATATGGCAATTGGCTGCCCAGGGCAGAAACCTCTCAGATAAATCATCAGATGTGATATTCAATTTCCAGAGTCGCCGCTGAGAAGAAAAGGCTGTGTCAATGGGGCCAGGATTGTCCACCGTTCTGGAGCATGTTCAACATTGTTCAGCTGCTTTATGGTGGGACCAAAAGTAGATTTGGTCCACAAACGTATGTATATAATATATAAATATATATAACCGCACAAGGCGGTGGCGGAAGTTTCAAAGATAGGAAACCTATAGGAGAGGTTGGTTGTTGTGAATCATGAATGGCAGAGCGAATCCACTCATGAACGGAAAGGTGGTTGGAGTGTGTGTTTTTTGGAGTGGTTGGAATGGTTGCAATGGTCACCTCGCCCACAACTGCTGGATGTAGCGTGGTGTAGTGCAATTGTAGTTGTAGTTGTAGCGTACCGTGGTGGAGTTGTAGTTGTAGTGTAGTGTAATTAACGCCGTGTTGTTGTAGTTACAGTTACAGTTGCAGTTGCAGTCGTAGTTGTAGTATAGTGTATGTAGTGTAGCGTAGTGTTGTCTAATGTAGTGTAGTTGTAGTTGTTGTGTAGTGTAGTGTACTGTTGTATTGTAGTGTAATTAGTGTTGTGTAGTTGTAGTTGAAGTTGTAGCTGCAATTGTAGTCACTACTACTACTACTACTACTACTACTACTAGTAGTAGTAGTAGTAGTAGTAGTAGTAGTAGTAGTAGTTGTAGTTGTAGTTGTAGTTGTGCTGGTAGTTGTAGTTGTAGTTGTAGTTGTAGTAGTAAAAGTAGCAGTAGCAGTAGCAGTAGCAGTAGCAGCAGCAGCAGCAGTAGAAGTAGTAGTAGTCGTCGTCGTCGTCGTCGTCGTCGTCGTCGTCGTAGTCGTAGTCGTAGTCGTAGTAGTAGTAGTAGTCGTCGTCGTCGTCGTCGTCGTCCTCGTCCTCGTCGTCGTCGTCGTCGTCGTCGTCGTAGTAGTAGTAGTAGTAATAGTAGTAGTAGTAGTAGTAGCAGGAGTAGTAGTAGTAGTAGTAGCAGCAGCAGCAGCAGTAGCAGTAGCAGTAGGAGTAGGAGTGGGAGTGGGAGTAGGAATAGGAGTAGGAGTAGGAGTAGTAGGAGTAGGAGTACGAGTAGGAGTAGGACTAGGAGTAGTAGTAGGAATAGGAGTAGGAGTAGGAGTAGGAGTAGGAGGAGTAGGTAGGAGTAGGAGTAGGAGTAGGAGTAGGAGTAGGAGTAGGAATAGTAGTAGTAGTAGTAGTAGCAGTAGTAGCAGTAGTAGCAGTAGTAGCAGTAGTAGCAGTAGTAGCAGTAGTAGCAGTAGTAGCAGTAGTAGCAGTAGTAGCAGTAGAAGTAGCAGTAGTGTAGTTATACCGGTAGTTGTGGTTGTAGTTGTCTATCGATCTATCTGATCTATCTGCCTATCTGCAAGCTTGAACACGAAGCTATTCTGCGAGACTCCTCAATTTTTGAACTTGGCAGCATCAAAAAAGCAGCAATTATGCGAGATCTCCTCGATTTTTGAACTTGGCAACGTCAAAAACAAAGCAAACCAGTGCAGAGCTGACGGCCTCGTGCCAATGCGTTTTACGCGCCTGCCACTAAAAAGTGAGCCAGGTCAAATGAAGTGCTTGCTGCACCTGTCACGCAAAATCATCTTAGCAAACCTGAAGATTTGATGATTTGATGCTCCAAAATGCAACCCCTCTTAGGAAATCAGCGCCCGGACCTCCTAACACGTCTGACTCATGTGCCTCTTGTCCTCTTCAAATGTCCTACGCTTGCCAATGCTTTTGAAACTGCCACAAACCCCTCACGTTTTGCTCACTTTTGGCGAGGTGCAGAATCCCTTGCGCCTGCCACGCGAAACGACATCTGAACGTCCAAAAGTGCTCCGACATATTGCGTTCGAACGCGCCACAACGGATTGGACATGTGCTTCGTGCACAACGGCGTGCATTTTTTCATTTCTCATCTCCCCAGATGGCTCCGCGCCCGCCGCTTTAGCGAACCTATACTTTTCGACCCTCCGGAACCACAAAACATTGGAAAAACACAGTGTTTTTGCGACTTGTCTACCTTTTCGCGTGCCTGCGTCTTCTTTCTTCTGACTCTTTCTGTTTTCCGTTTTCTGTTTTCTGACCTTCTTTCTTCTTTCTTCTTTCTTATTCTCTTCTCTTCTCTTCTCTGACTCTTCCCACCTCTGCTTTTTGATCTGTCCATATTGTCGGAAGTTTGACTTCTAAACTTCCTTTGATAATGATGGGAAACCGAACAATTTGAAGGACCCTGCAGCGGATTGTGAAGACATGTGAATTTCTTGGAGCTCACTCTTTCGTGTTGATGCCCTCAATGTGTATTCTAAAAGACGCACGTTTTCCTACTGTTTTGGGATGTCAGGCACATGGTTGGAAAATCTGGAGGAAACAGGTGTGACACGCGATGCTTGCCTCAATGTCGCATCGTGTGAAATTGGACGGTGTCGAAACCCTGAAAGTGCTGAATGAAGGTGACGAAAATCCCTTTCCGTGTGCAATGTAGAATGAGTAGAGACATCTTGAATCACATGTTGCGGATCGAAACGGAAGAGTCCGCAATGCTCAACACGTACCATGGACATGCATTGACATGTTTGCGTGCTGTTTGGGTTCACTTCTCTTTACTTTCTCAGCATCACGAATCGTGCTGCAGCGGTCTTGGCCTTAGAGCGAAAAACATGCCTCAAAACAATCTTTTTGTGTGAAACGAGTGCCACCTATAGCTATAGGACGCCATAGGAGAGTTTCAAAGTTCAAACGTTCATTGCAGAAACTGAGGGCAATGGTTTTAATCAAGGTATATATCTAATAATGTGGTAGACTCAAAACAAAACAATCCCCAATTTAAATTTCATTTCAGCATTTAGGGAGTCTAACAAATGAACCTAAACATTTATATAATAGACCATACCTACAAAAATTGTAAACCCAATCATGCACCTACTTAAAAAGTGGATGCATGATTGACATTAGGGTTTGTTTTAAAACAGGGTACCCCCAAAGCCCCAATGGCATATTGGCATTTTCCTGTAAAAATTGCGGTTTGGTCTATACCGGTATACCTCATTTTACCAATGAATTCATCACACTGGACAGGCACACGTGCGATGGCCATGCGCGCGTGAGCCAGCGCAACCCCATGACCGGTATTGAACGCAAGGTCGGCCCCGGTCTGGTCTGCAGCAAAGCAGCAACTGACCTAATTTGGTCAGGATTTCAGCATATCATTTGGGTGATCGTGGGGCCAAATATCTCAAATTTTTCAAGATGGCCAACATGGTGGCAACTTTAGCCTACTAGCTTGGCACCTTTTCGTGCATATTTGTGCATATTTGTGCATATTTGTGCATATTTGTGCATATTTGTGCACTTGAATTCCTTGTTCAATCTCTGTGAGCCATGTCAGGCCCACATTGGATGGCCGCTGGCCAAGGTACGGGCAGAGAGACCTCAGTTCAACTGAGCGCAAAGTTGCAGTGGTCACTAGCGTTGGCCATTTAGGATACGATTCTTTGCAGTTTAGCTAGTCAGAACATGTCAGAACTACAGGCCGTTACGCCGTGAATCCGTGAATCAATTCACTGATCAGCCTTCTCAGATCTGAATCCGTCGAATCCTGTTGGAAATCCACTCACCTTTGACTGAATCCTTGGGCCCTTGGGTTTCTGGGGAAAGCACTGCTCCGCGAGTCATGGATCCTTCGACTTTTGATTGTCTGGAGCCCAGATGGAGCTGGGCAAGTCAAAAGTGGGGCACTGGCTCCAGGAATTTGAAGTAGGAGTCTCAGTGACAGCTGAGGTCCTTCCATTTTCAGTGTCAGCCAGCTCCCTTAGACAGCGTTGGAGATCCCAGTTGCATTTTTTAATATTCAAGGCGTGTTGATGGGCACAGCGCACACTTAGCACTATTTCAATTCAAGTAGGTCAGTAGGTGTCACTAATACATCGGCCCAATTTGGTTTTGAACATCAGACTTGTGATCGTTCAGACTCCCATATTTTTACATTTTCAATTTGGTATTGTGCGGCCCCTGGCAATGTTGTTGAGATTCAACAGATTGAACAGTTTAATTGGCTTCTCCCATGCTTGAGGGTGTCTAACAACGTACTAAGTGCAAAAACATAAAGCATCTCTCTCTCTCTCTCTCTTTCCAGCACTTTGGATGCCTTGCTGGTGACTGAGGCCGTTCCATTGGATTAGCTCAGGCTGGATTGTTGCAAAACCAATATCAAAAATGAAGTTGTTCTTCCCTAGTTTCTTGTGGAGGGATGCAGCAGAAGCTCTTCTCCTTGCATCTCCTTGCTGCATCCTTCAATGCGGAATTTTGGGTGCAATGCAGCAGATACACGCACCACTTAGGAGAGAGCAAAGCTGATCTGAACACAAAATTATCAACCAAATGTAATACATTTAACATCATTTAACAAGGAAAACAAGTTCTCTGTCTCTGGCGTTTGGTTAAAACCTTTGCTTGGACGACGTACCTAGATGTGCAGTTGATCCGAGCTGTTGGATGTCCATGCAGCCATGGCGGATGTTGAGACTGCACGAAGGCAACGGAAGCGCCATCTTTCAACATCTTTCAACCATAGATCTGCGGTGAAGATGGCATATCAGCCAGTATCAGAAATGATTTTGTGTAGTCTTGACAACTACGCAGCTCCGGCTTCTTCTCGGTAGAAGTATACACAGCAAATTCTGATCACCAAGTGCAAGATTCACATGCATTCCTTTGTGCTGTTGAATGATCCACCCAACCATTTTCGTGAGAAGAACAGGACATAGCGAGATGACCTTTGCATCTTCATTTTAATTGGACTTGATGACTTTGATGAAGATTTAAGGGCCTTGGAATTCTACAATCGTCCGTTACGTCGTTACGAGGCTCATCAACGAGGCTTCACGGATTTTGGTGCTGACTGGGGCTGGGATCAGCGACTCGTCAGCTGAAGTGAAGCCTGGAATTTCAGGTGTAGGTTGGTCTAAATCAGCTGCAGCCGTTGGATTGTAGTCAGCACAAAGTGCTTTTTAAACTGTGGAATGTATGAATGGAATTGAATGGATTATGTGGATATGAAATGACATGAATGTATTTTTGCACTTGATTTCATCATATTTCATCCATGGGAGAGGTCTCGCAGCAAGGCACCGATTCCGGCATCCCCGACTTCCGTGGCCCTGATGGCCTTTGGACGAAGAATCCGGGTGCCGAGGAGGCATCGGACATCTCGGTGTTCCTAACAGATGCGAAAGCACGAGCTGGGTGCCGTGACGACATGACGACATGACGACATGACGGATGGCGAAGGTGAGGGTCATGGATGATTTGAAGAGTTTTACAAACCAAATATATGCCAGTCATGTGTCAACTGTGTGTCAAATATAGCAAAAATAGTTTTGTCAATAATCTACTCAAGGGCACCACCATGGTCACGATGATTCCCTTGTGCGTAAAAACCTCTGGTTTTGTCCAGTCTTTCAGCATTCTGAGCCTCCAAAACCATCCAAACCGCCATTTCGGTGATATTCCAGTTTTTCATGACCCTCTCCTTATCTCTATCCTGATCTGGGTGGGCCTTTCTGTCACTTTCGGTGCCGGCGTTGAGGTTTTGGAGCATGATGCGGATGATGCACGAGGCCAATTTGAAGCCCAACAAGGGACATCGCGCGCTGGTTCACTTGGAGGCTCTGCTGGGAATTGAACTGATTCTGCTGAGATTTACCTCCAAGTAATGTGTGTAGTGGAAGCCCTGACAGGAGCGTGGCAAGTTGCTCTTGTTGGTTACCCAGAAGCTTGGCATGGCACATATTTCCGTTTCTCCCAGAATTCAGAAGTGTAAGGGAACATGTGCAGGAACCCCTCTAAACTCGATAAAAACAATGGTTTCCTGAAGATTTCTCCTTGAGCTTGCACCAATCCCTTGAGTTTCTGCCAGGAACGTGGATGGTTTGCATCAAGCTGCTGGCAGTTCTGCAGATTTGGTGGTTGAAGTGCATGGCAGCACTCAGGACAGCCTGAAATTGGATGTGGGGATTTACCTTGGGATCTATGATGATTTATGGCAATTTTCGGCAACACGATGATATTCCACTGCAGATGCCCCATTTTAAGACAGAGATAATCTGAGATAATCTGAGATAATCTGAGATATACATGTCAAATTCAGGTTGTGATACTTTACCCACCAACACAAGATGGTTTTTGGGCTGTTTTCAGAACTTATTTCCAAGGCTAGGAAGAGGAATCAACTGGCAAACTCTTGGTGGGAGGGGCAGTGGCGTTCCCAATCCAAGGATTCCATTCCAAGGATGTGAGCAGTTTGGCGCTACAGTCTATATCTCTATCTCTATCTGTATAGTATTATACTTATACATAAATAATATACTAATATATTGGGGGATGATCATGATCATACTCCATTAATTATGGAAATCCCCATGAAAATTCATGAAAACTGATTGTGTTTTGTTGATGTTCTAGTGAAAGCGATGCCTGGTAGGAGAGCTGTTGCTTGAACTGCGCGGAACGCCTTCCCATTGAGGAAGCCCTGGCTGAAGTGGAAGCTGGAAACTCCTCGCCCTGTTGCAGTTGTGGCGGTTTGTTGTTCCTTGACAATAGGGTGTGTCTGAAAATAGGCTAAACCCCATTGTACCCAATGGTTTTGCTGATCATTATCCCCCAAAAAAATGGCTATTTCATTGGGAATATACCCTATTTTCAGACAAACCCAATATTTTCCATGACATTGTAATGGGACCGTGGAAAATCGTGGGAAAGGTGGGATGACGTTTTTTGTTCAATGAGTCAATGCGCCAAACAAATGTGGCATTCTGAGATGGATCTCAATGTTGGGGAGACATGAGTTAGGAAGACATGCTGTGCATCCGAGAAAGTGTGTCTTTGAGATAGATGGATTTTGCTCAACACTGTCTACCGCGTCCTTTGCTAGGCACAGTCGGCATATTTGGTGCTGGTTGTTTTTGCTGTGGAGTTTTTTTGCGTTTTGTTGAAATCTGCTGGTGTGCTTGGCTGTGTGCTTGGCGATCGATCCCCGCAAGAACATGGAGCATAGATGGCATAGACAATCTGCAGGTAATCACATTCCGGAAATTCCGGCTATCTTCCTCACAAGGGATTCGCACAGCCCTGGTATGTAAGTGATGAAGCTTGAGAAACAAATTGAAACAAGTTGAAACACGCTTAATCTGCCGTTGAATCAGTATGATTGGTGTATATCATATGACTGCAAGTCAGTCTTGATATGTCTTGATGGTATCATTGTGACCATTTTAATGTGACTTTTCAACTGAGGAAAGCTAATGTGGTCCTCTTCGGCGAAGCTTTGCCGCCCATGGCAATGCCGTTGCAACTTGGCCTTGTTTCAACCCGTCCTGATGCTGCAGGTGGAGTATTTGCCCACATTTACCCTTCAAAATGGCCCAGTTATATCCAGTTATGCTGCTATATTACTACTACTGTATTACTATAGTTATTAAATCATGCTAGATAGTTATGCCCAGTTATGTAGGTAAATAATGCTAGATATAGTAGTAATGTAGCATCGATGTAGCCAATATAGATGCTCGATGGCCTGTTCAGGGCCATGGAAGCTGCGCGGAGCTGCGACCTGATCCTTTGCGTGGGAAGCACGCTCTCCGTGTACCCAGTGCGCTGACGACTTTGATGTAGTTGAACGAAGTCAGAACGACTGATCCATTGAAAGACACATACACATACATAATATGTTAAATAATTACATAATATATATATGTAATATACATACACTATACAGAAAATACCGGTGATACATTTGGATACAGAAATAAGATGCCTGAAGTAATTTGGTCATTTATGACCAAATCATCGTCAAGACGCAAATGCAGGCAGTGAGCATTGTGTGAGTTTGTGAGTGCCAGGTCGCGTCTATTGTACCAGAAGCCAAAGAGTGTGGCGCAAAACTCGTGTTTGGGAACCGAGATTCTTCTGGGATGATCTTAAAGACTCAGCTTTGAAGGTCATAGTACTGTATGTCATAGTCAACCACCTGTGCCAAGGATCTTGAACAAAGGACAAACAGATTACGATGAGCTGGCAGATCTGCGACTGGAAGGCCCATGGGATGAGGTTTTAATGGCGGCTTGGAAGGGATGGACTTACGATTCCATTCACTTGGGGAAGCCTTTTCGGCATCCTAAAACGTTGCAACACAACATGAGACCGTCAACAGCTTGGTCAACAAATGGTCACTTTGTCTCCGCGATCTCCAGGCTCCATTTCTGAGTTGCTTCCACAGATTTGCGAAGCTTGTGAGAGTAGGCTCTAAAAAGAGGCTGCTGCGATGTGCTGCGCGGCCGACTTCAGGGTTTAGCCAACTTTCATCAACTTTCGAAGTCAGCATGGTACGGTGCTACAGGCCACGCCAAGCGGCAATGGGACGAGCGCCACGAACACGACTGCCACGAACACGACCGCCACAAATACATCGGATAATTCCAGTAGCTTGGCTTGTCATGGACAGGATGTGGCTATGGGAGAGTTCGTAAAAAGAGAGTAATTAGAACCGAAAGGACCAACTCCTACAGTTTTTTTTCATTGCTCAAAACCCAGGTCTGCAGAACATCATCCAGAACGGCCTAGTTGTCGCAACCTGAGGGATTTTGCAGCTACAACTGGCTACAACCTGCCGGAGTAAAATCAGCAGGATCTGGTTGCTGAGGACAACAAGATCAGCACCTTGTACTGGGCAGAAGTGGATCGTGCCATCACTGCTGCAGGCCGAAACTGATCACTTCCTGGTGTTCTGAAGCAGCTTCCGAATTCAGTTGATATGGGGGTTTCCATTTTTATGGGGTACCCCAATAGCTGGATTGTTTTTCTGGAAAATCCATCTATAAATGGATGATTTGGTACCATTATTTGAGGGGAAAAAACCATATGGTTGCTGCTGGTTGCTGGATTCATCTGGATTCCAAGTTGTTTCTCTGTACTCCGAAGTCACCAGCATTGCCAGCCTTTGTCACGCCCAAGCCGCACTCGGTGAACGATCCCGGGCCTACACCAACGCCTGATCCGCACCAGGGGCCGGGTGTCTGAGCGCCTAACCTATACCCACCTATCCTTCATATAGAGACTATCAGACTATCAGAATTCACTATAATTCATGAATTATGGGAATCACTCTGGAACCAATCATTAAAGTATAATCATCAACAAATTTGGATTTTACAAGAAATACCTATTACTTTCATGAATTTCCCCCATCCAATCTCCAATCATATCCAGAAACTTGTCCAGGAAATCCCATGGATTTCCCGTTTGGATTTCCCGTTTGGATTTCCCGTGGATTGGAATCCCCAGGTACTCGGCCATTTTGGACGTGTCCACCGAGAGCGATCCATCCGCCTTGGGCGCTGGGACCATTTTTGGTGCCTCTTCGGACCGATCGGAACGGAATGGATCATGGTGCAGCGGTATATCTACCAAATTGGGGGAAAAGGGGGACAAAAGTTTTGCCCGTTTTGGATCGGTTTATTATGGTTTATTGGTTTATTGGTTTATTCAAGTGATTTCAAGTTGGTTTATTGAAAGTTTATTGAAAGTTTATTGGTTTATGTTTTTAGGATTCGCCAATAAACTTTTTGGCTTTAGAATCGCCAGGTTTCCGGGCACCGGATCTCGAAACGCAGGACTCTGCAGCGCAGGGCTTGTCCGGCTACGCCAATTATGAGCTGGTGACACCGTGGAACCTGCATGTTTGAAAATCATTCGGAACATGGGCAGAACATGCTGAGTGTGATGCAAGTTGATGCAGTTTCTTTCCTGTTCCCCCAACCTTTCCAAAACAGTAAGTATGATCATTGATCATTAAAATTAAAGATCTCCACTAAGATCATACTTAACACTTCAATGATCATCTTTAATGGTTAATAGTTGATCCATGATTTTCCACACTTTTCCATTAAAACAGTTCTCTATTCTGTCGCCAGGCCTCCACCATTCCCAGAGGTCAAGCAGAGTCCCAAGGTGAGGATCGAGGATCCAGGATCCAACATCCACTGATTCTGTCGTTTTTTTTTCCCGATGTTTTCCCATTGGGTTGGATTTTTCTTAGTTTCTGTTAAATGTTGTGAGTTTGAATTCTGCATCTCAATCTCTTTCTGGATGAGTTGCGATTACACGGATTCCAGCTTCGTGGAGAGATCCATTTTGCAATGGGTCAACCTGAAATGGGAACATGGGAACAAAAAACCATCAGAATGATAGCCAAGCTGAATCCATCATACCAGTATAGAGAAATTTGAAGAATGTTTGCCACAGCTTGGATATCGAAGATCCATTTGGAAAGCTTCAACGGGTCCAATGGATACCTTCGATCTTCAAGAAGCCCGGACCTGGCAGGTTGGCGTGCTGCCTTACCAGATGGCCTTGGGAGCTGAATTGTTGTCCCTAAGCCAAGTTGAAATGCCGGGGTCCGCTGAGAACAAATTGATTTGCTGAAGCGATGTCAATTAATTCACGATGTTTTTTTCGTGTCAGTGACGTGGTGCAATTTCTGAAGGACATACTTAAACATGATTAGCCCAATGATTAGCATGATTTCAGCATGATTTCAGCATGATTTCAGAATGATTTCAGAATGGTGCTCAATGGTTGCTGTGAATCATTGTGAATCATGAAAAAAATGTCCGCTGGCTGATGCTGCCGTGAACAATGCTCCAAGGTATGGCATGTCGGAGAAGGTTACTCCTCAACCACTGCCCGCGCAGGAGCGACATGATTGTCCTGGCAGGGGCTTTTTTAGGGGCTGATGTTATCCACACAGTTTTGTAAACATCAGCTTTCAGCTTTCTGTGGCAGGAGGAAGTGGATGCGTCCTTCGCCTCGCAGTACCTGGGCAATGGAACAGTGCTTTTTTTTGTGGCAACTTGGGTCTTGGAATGCACCCCGATGCTTTGAAACGGATGGAAACACCTTTGCAGTTTACCCTTTGAAAAGGTTCGAAATTCCAAGAGTGACAGGCATGAAATGACTTGGTGCTTGGTGAATTTGAAAGTGTTTTGGTTGCAGCTCTTGGCACCAAAAAGGTGTCCAATGGTGATGCTGTCCAACGAAGTCTTCGTCACGTGCGGCAACCCAAACATGAAGGGCGAAGGGCTCCTCTTCGACAAAGCCTGATTGGATCAGGATAAGGAAAAAACGACACGAAAAATCTGATGGCGAAGATTGCTTCGTTTTCCAGCATTTTCTACCCAGTTTCTCAGCTGGAAATCCAATAGGATGACATATCTCAGCAGAGGCCTCCCTGTGAAGGGGGTGACGGCTTCGGCACGTGGACCGATTCCTTGAAGCCGCGGAAGATGTTGAGGTACCAAACATCTGGCTGGGAAGCACCTGGGAAATTCAAAGAGTTGGAACTTGGAGATGCTGGAGATGTTGGAGATGTTGGAGATGTTTCACTACATCCAAAGTCCATGTTGAACAAAGCAGTTTTCAACTGAAAATAGACATGGTTGCCAATAGATTCAATAGACATGCCAATCCTTGTGAGACTTTCCTCGAGATGTACAATGCACTGCCATCGCCGTTCCCGCAGGTGGGCCGTCAACAGCCGTGGTGGCATAGACTTCAACGTGGATTCAGCTCCTTGGAACTATGGATATCGATGCATTGTTGCAGTGTCCAAGGGAATGGACAAATATTGCAATAGTATTGCTATAGTATTGCTAAGTCATATTGGCAATATTATTGCTATAGATTACAATATGTACTAGTGTCCAAATCTTCTTTTCAGTCAAGTATTGCCAATAGTATTGCTATGTATTAGCTCCCGGAAATGCTTTTTATGAACTCATACACTTTGTTGAAGGGTTTAATGAAGACAGCTAGTGCAGCTAGTGCATAGGTGAACTATGGTGAACTCCTGTCTGCACCGGGTCCTGCTAGTGCTCAGGCAGTCACCGGACCCGGCAGTGTGAACTTTGCTGCTTGAAGCCCAAAACGTTTCCACGGCGTTTGCTTCGAAACGAGTCGAGTCGAGTTTTTGAGCCAATTGGATCCAATCCACCAGACATTTCAAAGGGAGGACTGAGTAGGAGTCTGGTTGTTGGATGTTGTTGGACTGGATCCATTTGGGGATGGGTCAAAACCCTGGTACCTAGTTACCCCAAAATAGCTGGTAAATGGATGTTCATCCCACTAAAAATGGTATCTATAGGTATTGATCCATCCCCATTTGATAAAGCGTCTTTGACGACGCTGACGCTGCAGCATCACGACACGTTGCCATGTTTCTTCTCGACCGAGACCTTGTCGGAGAAGATGACTTTGACCAAAAACATCTTCGAACTGCCGGAGTCCAAAAGATCCACTGATGCACGTGTTTGATCACCACTTGATGCAACAGCAGCTCATTTCCTGAGGTATAGCTGTATGAATGTGCTCCGATATAGCATCGAGGACCAGGGCGCAGTCTCTGGAGTAGTGGGTGACTCTAATATTCAGTAGAATTTGTTCAGCGATTCTACTCTTATTGCTCCAACAAATCTGGATTCGATACGCTGCTGGCGCAACCCTCTTGGAGTTGCTTAGTCGTTGCTTCCTGGCTCTTCATGATTCGTTTCCAACCACATTTTCAAGAGAAAAACACCAAACACATCCAAACACATCCCCCAAAGAAATCGAATGAACATTCACCAGATTTCACCAGATTTCACCAGCAGCATTTCACAAGGAGACGGTGGTGAAGGTGGATCACATGGCCCAAGCGGCCCAGTCCACTGCCTCGGACCACGATCTCGGAGAGGTGCGATTTTTTTATATCATCCCAAGATGGAAAGACTATTTCAACCAATAAGTCAACCATATAATATCAATATGGATCAATAGGTCAACATCAATCAATGACAGCAATAAGTGGGGGATTTATGATATTTTTCATGATATTGAATGATGTTTGATATTGATATCAGATGATATCAGATGGTCCAAGATGGTCTCAGATGATAGCCTGGTAAGGTTGGGACGGGATATGATGATATGACCACGTATTGAGGGAGCTATGAGATACGAGAGACACCAGCAACTTCTGCGTATACTCAGGAGAAACTTGAATATCACCAGCAAGTACAGGGAGATGACCAACATGTTTATACTGGGTGTGTGGATAAAACATGTTTCAAGGGATTTCAAGGGTGTTGCATTTCCTTTCTTGTTTTGGAGCATTGATCCAGCGTACCTGTTCTTTGGGGTTGAAGCCACCAAGTAGCTATTATTCGGACTTGTCAAGTGAACTGCATTGACTGAGCAAGTCCTGGGTTCCGGTGCCCCGCAGACCTCTGTGGCCGTCTTCTACCAGTATTTGATTAGGCGGGTCCTGGGCGGTCATGGCTGACGGGAAGATTTTTGGATGAGCCCTCATGTCTTCTTGGCAAACCTCAGGAGTTTTGCAGCCATGCCGGGGCCATGTCTGTCGTTTTAGGCATGCCAATGGCTCTCTGATGGCGCAGACGAGCCAATATCGCCTGCCAGAAACAGATGTGGGAGTCCCGGCGATCAAGCCATCCTCCGTGCTATTTCAACACCTGGGAGTCAGTGATCAGTAAGAAAGGCCACAAAGATGGGGGCGAGTCTTCTATGAATCAAAGATGATAGATATCCATCCCAGATATGGTCGTATTTTACATCCGCCAACAAACACTATTCTTTGCACAAGAAGATGTGTGTCCCTCATTCCCCATGCTGTTTGCGCTCGAACTGAGATCAATTTCACATCCTTTGTCCCCGGCAGCTTGCACAGCGAAACATTCGCAGTCGGGATCTCAGAGATCTTGTGAGTTTTTTGCGTTGTGCAAAACTGGTCTCAATAAACAACTTGACGCAGCTCATTTGTCAACAACCAACAGCTTGTGGATTTCGGATATTTTGTGGCTTGTCATTGACACGCCGAAACTGAGCCTCAGCTGAGCTGTCTCCGCAGATCGCGAGACGTCATGGTCGATGGCAAGGAACTGACTGGCGGCAGTGTACCGATCCGCAGCAGGCACTGGACAGATCTGGACAGTGACAAACCGTTGGAGTCGGAGCTGAGCTAACAGTGACAGTGACAGCTCAACTCACCAGGGATGGAACATCTCCTTCCCGACCCACAAGAGCAGCAATCTGGTAGCTATTGCCACGGTTCAGGACAGCCAATCAAAGACAGGACACGACTAGTCTGGAAACACAGGTTCATCTACCCCTAAAAAGATCGGAAATCAATGGAGAATCAAGGCAACAGTTGGTTACAGCGTAGATTGGAGCAGATTGCCTCAGTAGGCTGACCTTGCGAGTGTCGCTAGGACCTGCAAGTGGCTGCTGCGGCAGTGGTTCCGCGCACCCAGGGATGTGATGTTTGATGAGCGACATGTAAAAATACCATCCAAGAATACAGTGATAGGAATAGGACGTAATGGGATGCTTCCCTGATAGGATGAACATCACCGGCCGGCCCCAGTCACTCAGTGGGACTTGGCTGATGCTGACCCCGTTGACCCCTGTTGATCTCGTAGCACTGTGCAGTTGACGTTATTGGCCTGGCGTGAAGAAAAAGTCAGTGCTGATGGCTTTCAACATGCAGGCGTGGTCCCGGAACTGTCTACAAGTTTTGGTTTCGTATGACATTTGTTGGATGCTTGTTCGTTCATAGTTGCCACTGCTACTTGGATGTTGTGTAATAAGATGTTTGGAATATGCTGCAATCCAAACTCCAACGTAATCAGCTCAGAATGCCTTAATTGTGGCCTTGACTAACTTGACCCGTTCTCCACTGGACACGGCACTGCAAGGCCAGGCCTCCCTGTATTGGTCACTGGTGCCTCCCCGGAGCCAAGATTGCCGCTTTGGGTCCCTATGGTCTCTTGGGACATCGACCCTACATCTCTGTCTTAACAAAGGTGGAGCAGGATGAAGTAGTGATTTGAATTTGTACATTTTGATGATTTTGTACCTACAACATGGCGTGACCTTCGAAGTTCAGACTGATCAAACTACAGTGACTGTGTTGATCTCAGTTTGGATGTACCCAGACCCAATGTCAGACCTACCTAACTGATCCTAACTGACCATCAATGACCATCATTTCGACCGTCAAATTTCTGGCTCGAGCTTTTGCCCCTGCGGTGACCAAATTTTGCCCGGATGCCCAGCTCACAGAGAGCATGTCGAAGAACTGTTGCATCTTCTCATCTACAATCGGAAGAATACAGGACCTATATGAGGATTGTGAGGATTTAGAATGATTCAGAATAAATTAGATATCTATAAGATATTAGATTTCTATAAGGATTTGGATTTCTTGATATGTCTTGGTCTCAGTATTTCTCAGTGCTGTAAACTTGCCAGGAGTGCCAGGTCCGGCTGGCAGCGGCTCGTTTATGCGCTCGAGGCAGTTGTTCTGGGCCCGTCAAAGGAGAGGCTCCGTGTGCGTCATGTCATGCGACGTGCCGGTCGTGCCGGTCGTGCCGGGAGAAGGGATGAATAATTGATGCTGGCAGGACCTCTGCAAGAAGATAGAGCATTTGAGCCTTGGCCAACGAGCGGCAGCTGATGGCAGTGATCAGCGAACTGCCCAGTGTTTCGATTCGTGCCACCAAGGACACTGCATGCCTCCTGAGGCATCTCATTAATCGCAAGGAGAGTCGTGGCCAAGGGCTGTCTTGAAGCAAGATATTCTGCGTATGTCTAAGCTAGTCTAATTTTTTTTATTTGATTTGATCTCGTTCTCACATTCTCCATTTTGATCATCTTGTCACCAAGTGATTTCTAGCTCGAAAGGCCAGTCTCATCCGACCCCAATCACCCCATCCCAATTTTGCTGCAGGACGTCCGAGTCTAGGTCGCAACCATGGCGATGTGCAACATTCCGTCGACAAACACCGACCCTCAGTACCGTTCGAACCTGAGACCCAGCTGGGAACTGGAGGTTTCTTAAAATGGGTGATCTGCAGGATCCCCAAAACCGTGGGTTTCCAATGGTTTCCATACGAAATTGGTATATTTTGGATGATTTGGGGGTACCCCCATTTTTGGAAACCTCCATAGAGACAGATATAGATGAGATGTTATGACATCATTATGAGTTTCTAGTCCCGGAAGCACATCGTTGAATTGGATAGGCTACAAGATGCCCCGCTTGATGGCGAAAATTGAGGGTCGCGGCAATGGCGCCTGGGCTCAGACACGGCGCGCTGTTTGAAACATGGCATTGCAAGATCAGCGACGCCGCGACGCTCCAAGGAATCAAAACTTGCATTGTCAACATGGGTGAGGTGGGCCTCTGAGGGGCTTAGCTTGTGAGCTGGTGTTAGTGGAAGTTCATGGAGTATCGGAAAGACGTTCTGAAACTTAAAGAAACTTAAAATAGCAGATATATAATATAGATGTTTTGAATGTTTTAATATATTTGACAACCTTTGCCCGTTAGGAATACCGTTTTGGCCACGTGAATTCCCAGGTGGCGCGTGCCATCAAACGTCCACCGTGTGGGGCTTAGAACCTTCGACGGGATGGCCTCTTTACTGTGCCAAGCGTGCACCAGACAGTGCTCCCAAATACTAACTCTGAAGAATTATGATACATATATATATATATATACATATATATATATGTAGATATATATGTAGATATATAATGTGTATACAAAGTGTATATCAGTAAATTTGCGACCGATGCAGCTAACTTGTCCAGCGCTCAGGCAGTATGTGACCAAGTTCTTTGGCAACGTCCAGGGCTAAAGTGCTTGGAATGGTTTGCTAACATGCTGGCAGCAGTGGCCGTTTGTCACATTTCTCCATAAAAATCAAACAAGATTTTATACATCAAATCAAATCAAAGTAATGCTTTAGTCACTTTAATATCTTTAATCTGACATGATTTCCTGTTAACATGAAAAATCGACTGGGTCAACAACCTTCCACTCCTGAAATAGACTGGATCTGATGATCTGCTCCCAGGATTTGGGTGCCCAAGCCAACTACACCAACAAGGCCAAGCTGACGTAGCTGTTCTTATCGTTCCTATACCGACTGCAAGAGACATCAAGAGACACTTGATTAGCTTGATTTCTTTGCACTTCCTCTATCATCTCATTCTAAGACTGAAACATATGTGAATAGTGGGCTTTTCCATTGAAGTTTCTGTGGCATTTATGAATCACACCTCAACTCTTGCTGACCATTGCATCCATTCCATCCATTGCATCCATTGCTGGGTCGCATTGTGCTTGGTTCCATGTTTGCAGGAGGGCGAAGGCGAACGTTCCATCGTTCGTGGAGCACATCAAGTGGAGGCAGCCCAGATGCTTTGCATTTGATTGCAGAGCTCAGCGAATGAACTTGTGTTGATATCTGTTTTTTTCTCTCAATGCCTTTGTTTCATCTTATTTCCAAACTATCATATACATTCATATACTATAATATACTGTAATTATCTGTAATTACAGTCTTCGCTACGATGAGTGCCATAGCCCCTGGTGTGTTGGCAGGACTTGAGGACTTCGCTGGACAAGTTCATCGAGAAATATGTTTGCTGTGAGAACTGCCCCTGGGCCGCAGAGGGAAATGGCGGGCCATGGCGGGCCATGGCGCCATGGCAACTTCTGAGGTCACCTTCCTGAGATCGACATGTATGTCAAGAAGGGCATTATCCAGGTCGAGATCTCATCCGAGCTCCGCGTGGGGGGAGATTAATGATAGCAAATGATAGCAAATGATAGCAAATGATAGCAAATGATAGCAATGATAGCTATGATAGCTTATTCCAGGCCTGCATTGATTCAGAGTTCAGCTCTTTGTCCTCGATTCCGATGCTATCCCGTGCTAGCGGACATCCAAACAAACATAAACGAACTGAAAAACATCAAGAATCCCAAGACCAGAAAGTACCAGCAAGTGGCTTTGTTCTGAAAATAGGATACCCCCAATTCCAATGGTTTAGCGACATTTTTCCCTATTTCACTGGCCATAAATCACAATGACCATTTTCAGGGCCGGTGCAACGCCTGCGGTTGGGCTGGTGAGCTGGACAACACAGACAAGTCAGGGCAACCCAGTGGTCATGGCAGGTCAAAATCACATGGCTCCATGGAATGAGACGCCGGCAAAATGCCACGGAATGGGAAGTATCTCTGATGAGACATGGACATATTGGACATGGAACATTTGGAACATTTTGCAATGAGATGCAATCAGGCTGGCCGCGTTTATCATCAAAAATCCGTTGGGGAAGCTCAGAGGGCTGTGTGTTGCGGTGGATAGAGCATAGAATTTGCTGCCCAGACATCCCTGGGACTTTAGTCGTTTCCACGCTCCCTAAGTTCCTGCGGTTTCATGATTGTTTGGAACATGCATATATATTTTTCCGATACACTGATACACGATCAACACTAACACCAAAAACATGTTTTTTTTTGTTTTTCTATTCTTCATGCACCTTAGATCATAAGATTCTTAGGCCTGATGAGTCCGGACTCAGCCTTGGCACCGTTGACCAAGGAGGCGATGATGGTAAACGAAACGACACACATCCATTAACACCCATGAATGGCTTACATGAGTGTTAATGGTGATAAACCATCCATTCATGGATATTAATGGAATGTTAATGGAATGTTAATGGAATGTTAATGGAATGTTAATGGTGATAAACCATCCATCCCATTAACATCCCATTAACATCCCATTCACATCCATTAACCTATCGGGGATGGTTTCTTATTGGCTTTACATGGGCTTTACATGGCTGGCCCCACATGAGGCAAGTTTCATCCAATTTCTACAGAATTTCTGAGGTCCCATAGAATTGTGGCCAGGCGGAATGGATAAGCGTGAACGGCAGAAGTTGAAGGCACAGAAGGCCAAGGAGAAGCGAAACGATGCCAATGGCCGGGCCAATGGCCGGGATGGATTTGGGGACCCTGTACTGCTTAAAAGGGTCAGATGACAAGCATTTAAGATCATTAAAGTATTTTAAATTTTAAGTGCTTAGAACATCTTAGCACCAATGTTTCAGAAGTTCACTTTTGTAAGTTGGAACGGAGATTGGTTTTGGCAAGACTCTCCAAACAAAAATATACTGTTGTGCAAAAGCAGCATATCTCCGAGATTGACACGACTGCTCAATTTCTTGCGATTTCCATTTGAAGATTTTACACTTCGGACACTTCGGACACTGACATCAAAGGCCATCTCATTTGCCGCGCAGGATAAACACGGCACTGAGGACAGCGAAGACGACTCCGCTTCAGGCAGTGCTAAGGCACGGCAGCGACCCAAGCCATGCAGCTTCACCTGGAGATTTCTGGAGTGCTTCGCAGGAAAAGGAGAAAAAGGAAAAGAAAGAAAAAAAGGAGAAAAAAGAGAAGAAGGACTTTGGTGTCAGTAGATTTTAAATATTAGTCAAATGATACAAACCATGGCTTCTGTGAAGTGATTGCAGCTATGACTACGCGTCACAGAGAGGAGGGCAGCAGTGCCTCCTCTGAATGCATGCAGTTTTGTATTAGATAGCAAACAATGCAAGGTGGAGGCTCTGCAAGACCCTCGCATTCCTTTGGAAGTGAGTTCTGACTCAGCAATACTTCAGCTGAAACATGTTGCATCCATACGTATCTATGCTGCTGATAGTACGGGCAGGGGGCAGTGGCTGCAGGAGAAAAAGAAAAAGAAGGACGACGACGACAGCGATGAAGAAAAGGAGAAAAAGGACAGCCCTGCAAATAAAATGCGAAGAGCAACGATATCCGGGTACTTCATCGTGCTCAGTTGTCAAAGCATTATGACTTTCTGAGTGAAGTCAGTGATCAGATGTCATGACCTTTTGTGAGCAAGTGAACTTAACATTGGAAGATTTGGAAGCTTTCCACTGGATGCCACTGGTTCTGAGGAGAAGAAAGAAAAGAAGGAGAAAAAAGAGAAAAAGGACAAAGGCGAAAAGAAGGAGAAGAAGGCACCGAGCTGCCAATGAGGGCAGGCACTGAGCTGCGCATAAGAAAAACCGCCTGTACTGTGTGTGAAGTCGCGAAGGCCATAGGCGACGGCCATACGACTTGATCCTTGTCCCATTGGAGCTCCCAGAGCCGCCAGGAAAAGTCCGAGAAAAAAGAGAAGAAAGAGAAAAAGGCTGGAATTGACACGTTTTGAGATGTTACCAGGTTACCATCATCATCTACAATTAATATCAATTAATCAATATTAATCAAATAATATTAACCATGAGTTTTTACCACCTATCAGCGCCAGGAGAAGAAGGCGAAGGATTCGGCAGCTCGGCACTGGAATTTCCCAATTTCCCATGAGGCCACTAGCAGCGACCTTGAAATCGGATGATGGATGGGATGCCGCTCCCTGCAGCTGCAATGTGAACGAAAATTTTCTCATTGTGAGACATAATTGACATAATATTGACATATCACAAGTAGATACAATTAGGCTTTCACAAGTTTTCATCTGAATTTTCACATGTGGCTTTCACAAGTTTTCATCTGAATTTTCACATGTGGTTTTCACAAGTTTTCATCTGGCATGCGAACGATTTGGGATGACACCAAACCCTGTCGTCACCGAGGATGATGAAGATGACGACGATAAGGACGTCAAGAACCTGCAGCCAAGCTCTCAGGGATGTCACGAAAGACGCCGTCAGTGAAGTCTTTTTACCAAATGCGGGTTTGCAGTGATTCTTTGGAACACCATATTCCGTTTTCAGAAGGGATCTGGAATGATCTGGATTTTTCCACAGATTGTCTCTTTGCTATCTTTGCTACCGTAGCTGCAAAAAACAGTGGGGACTTTCCGGTGACATGCCAGGCACGATGAGGAGCAAACCAAAGCAGTGGTTAGTGTCCTCAAGGAATGGCTGCAGGGTCAGAGCACGAGACTCAGATGGTGATTGTGATGGCCACGATGGCCAGGATGGTAATGGATGGTAAAGATATTAGAAAAAAAACATCAACCAACATCAACCAACATCATTTCCGGATTTCAACCTGTTGACAGCCACTTGACCCTTGAAAATGCCAATTTAAAAACCGCTCCAGGTTCGCCGAAACCTGCTGACTTCTTCGAAGAGCTCCGGATGCAACAACTGTCCAAGGTCTTCGACCATAAGGACCGAATGGTGGGATGGGATGGGATGGGATGGGATGGGATGGGATGGGATGCCCACAAGTTTCCAATTTTTCCCAACCCTCGCAATAGAATCTTCGTGTCCAACTCGCAAGTGGCAACTCTTTTTTGGATTCTGAGCTTTGCTGGGCCGGAGATTTTCATGTTGAAGGGGATGGGCAAAGCATCGTCGTTTATGACTCGCTCAGTGTGCAAGATGTGATGAAAGGGGGTGATGAAAGCATTTTGCAAAGCCTGTTCTAACTCAGCAGCACTTTTTTCAGGTTCGCCTCTATATTGCTTTTGAAGTGACGACCTGAGAAACTGGCAGGTGTCCAGTTGCTGCTTGATAAAGCCTGGTGAACGAAAAAGATATGATTCACTCAAATTTGGGATATTCCAAGGTTATCGAAGGTTGACATCATTGATATATATATATATATTGATATCATTTAACAATATTTAATATCCATTTCAACTTAGTTTCCCCGTGAAAAGAAATGTGACACTCTAAGAAACACAACGGATTCTCCCTGGTCGCATTGAGGCGCTATGTGGAGATTCCATGGATGCGAAGGCTTTGGAAGGGCAGAAAAAGCTGGTTGTCCGGGCCTCAACACATCAACAACATTTTTTTTTGTTCTCGCACTGCAAGTTGTTGTGCCGAGAAGCTCTTATTTTTACATCGACAACACTTTGTGGCAGTGCAGCTCTTTTTGTGCAGAATGCAGCAGAACTGAGGACAAAGTCATCAGCAGTCCGTGCTCCTGGCAGAACGATAAATCCGGTCGTCCGAGTCGTCCCATCCGGTTCCGCGGTTCCGCAGCATTTTCCGCGCCAGGAAGTTGCCTGGATCTGAAGTCCTATGGGCCGGAGAACTCAGAAACTCGAAAATCTACCGCAGATCCTACATGGTGCGAAGTCGATGCCAGGCATTGGATGCCTACCTCGATCTGCACGAGGGTATTTCCAAGGGATTCCCCATGCTCCTGAAGGTGGCCTATGACCAGGACCGCTTGTAGTGGTTTGGGGTGCTTTGGGATGGTAAAAACCCTGGGTTTATGACTGGTTTATGAGTGGTTTATGACTGGTTTATGACTGGTTTATGACTGGTTTATGACATTCGAACATTTTGGAAAGCTGCATAAAATTGTCCCATTTTGTGATGTAAAACCTTGTGGCCTTCACCAGCTCGACAGTATCAGCGACAGGATTGGGCGGAAGAGAAGGATATCCTCTCGTACCATGTTCAGCTGGCCGTATTTGATTTGTTCAATTTGCATGCAGTTGCTAGAGCAGCTAGAGGCTTCCAAGATGGAAAAATGCTCTTGTTTGAGTAGAAAAGTCGCGGAACAGATTTCCGGTCATCGACGAAAGGAGTTGTTTGCCCATCTTCGTCTCTGCATGTTGCTGTACACATCTGAGGTACTACAATGACGACGAGGGAAAGGGAGAGCCAGGCTTTCAGGTGGAACACCTAAGTTCTTGGAGTTTTCTGCGGTTTTTGTGTCTGGTTCACTTTTGAAACATCCAGAGATTCTAACTGCGTGAGTATTGTGACATATTGTGACTGTACCACCAACTCGAAAAGGATCCAATAGCACAGCAGGAAATTGACAATGAAACGTATGGAATATCTGAATATAAATGAGTAGTACCAGTAGCAGGTATTTGTAACATGTCTAAAAAACTAGCTGATGAGATGGCTTTGTCGAGGAAGCGAAGAAATTGGCAGCGCCCTTTTTGAAGCTCGACGCTTACGGCTTTGGCAGGTGAGTCATTGATTTTACATCACATCTGTAATTTCTTCATTTTCTGTTGGTTGCTGATGGTTGCTGTGTGATTTCTGAGGTGGTTGGCGGAAGCCAACGATTCCGATGACGATGATGACGACGACAACGATGATTCCGATTCGGACTGGCTTTGACAGCAGCGAACAACATTTCAGATCTTGAGAACTTGCGAACTTGCACAGTTTCTTTCCACACAAAGTGAAAAGTGGTGCTGAAGGCCAGTTGCTGATCTCATTTCCTACTAAAAGTTGTCAATTGCAACATTCAAGAGATTCTACTGAGGAACCGAACACCAGATACACAAATAGATAATCCACAGATATCCACAGCATGCTTTACCTTCAAGACTGGCGCACATGACATTCTCGACATGGGATTTGTTGCAGGATTAAGTGAGGCTTGGGGCCCCGGAGTTGGGAGTCATGGAAAGTCTTCAGGTTTTTCCATGGCTTTTTCGCCTTCCCGGGCCTTGCCCAATCCTTACATTTTCCACATGGATTGTCCAACATTTTCTGATCTTTGCTTTAGATAACTGTGCTTTTGGAAACAAGTTACCTGGTTCATCTGGTTCCGACTTGCTGGTTCCGCGGTCTGTTTTGTCACTCGGCCTCCAAGGTGTAGAGATACGGCTGAATTCGGCGAGTAACATGTCCAACAAGTCCTTGACCTGATGACTATCTTATACTATCCAGACCTGACTATTCATATTTCTACTTGGCACATGTTTGCACTAGTTTCGTCTTGCTTTCCACTAGTATCCACTATAGTCACCAGTCAGTTTTGGGTTTTTTTGTCTCAGCCATCCCTCCCAACATCTCGGATTAACTTGGCCCAGGCACTCGGCGCAAGACATAAGCCGCCCGACAGCGCAGAGACAGAGATGCCATGAGATGCCCACCGCATGCAGACGAGCAAAGTTACGATGCGTGCGTTGACACGGAGAGTATCGGAGAGTATCGGAGAGTACTTGACCAAAGGTTGCCACAAGTGTTTCCAACCTGTCATTCTGCATATGGCATCATTTTCGGAGGGAAAGTCATCATGAGGCATTGAGGCGTTGCTTTGACCTATGCTCTATTTTGAAGATTTTGACACCCGAGACATAACGCAGACTACTTTTATAACATTTTATAACCACACGTCTTGACACCAATCAGACAGAAGTAGGAGGCGTAGGAGAGTTCTGCACTCTCGCTGGTTGCCAGAGTTCTATGTGCCAGTGTGCCAGGGCATACTTTCCAATCTTGTGTGCGGCCCCCCGCAGGTGTCAACCATTCTCTGGATATTGTTTGTTCTGTTTATCCTAGCTGTGCTGACTTTGGTGCGCCCCTCAGAGCCTGAGCCAAGAGATAAAATCGAGGAACTCAGAATACATCGGAACAAGAGTTTGTTAAAAGTTGAAAGTTGAAATATTCATGTTTAGATATCATTTACATATATCCAGTATGGTTTGATGGTGACAAAGCTATGAAAATTAAAATGGCGTGGTTGTTTGATCCAAAAGGGAACTCAAAGGCATTGTTGCTCAGCTGCTGAGGTGTTTCAGAAGGTCTCGTGCATTCCTAAAATGAAGCGCCTCTTGGTGCAACGGGAGAATTTCTTGTGAGATCGTGAACTCTAAGTGCCGCTGTTCAAACACTGAGCATTTCTCTGATGGACACACGGACACACATAGTTTACCGTAATGACACAAATGGAGATACTTGTGAAGACGTGTGCCCTGACTCATGCGATCTTTGCACTGTCTCCGGGCATTCCTAAGGCTTCTTCTTCCGATTGGAGGACCCATGGATATCATTTGAAGATGTTGAATCAAGCTGGAAAGCTGTAGAGTGTGAAATTCACAGCAATCATAGCAATCTCTAAGCTGCTCAGTTTGAACTTTGCTATCAGATGCTATCAGATGCTATCAGATGCTATCAGGGTGTATATATCGCTGTTGGGATGCGGAGAGGAAGTCATCTTGCCCAAGAGACCTCACGCCCTTAGGTTCAGAGCCCAGAGATTTCACGGAGTTGCACCGAATTTTGGGTCAACATTTAGTACCAACTAGCGGACCCACAAAATCGGTCATTTTCGGTCTTCAGTATGATTAAACCATCCATCTATTGCGTTTAATGAACCCATGATTTCATAATCAGAATATCCCCCTTGGAATTTCCCCTAGGAAATGGTGGGCTTGGGCCCCACGATTATTTAGAGATTTGGATTTTATGGGTTTTCCATCTTTGATCACTTGCATTCTTTAGAGGAATATTGGTCGCTATTTGACCTCATCTGGTGGAAGCTGGAGGTTCCATTTGTTAGAGTTCCGGGTTATCATCCGGGATCACCTATAAATTTACAATTTCCCATTCTTTAGACACCAGTTGTGTGTTTCCAAAAAAACGAAGTTGCATTTTTTAGAGCTCACTGGTTCAATGACATCAAGGGGTATGCACTGGGGCCCTCCATTTTATAGAAAAAAAAACGTGCGGAAACACTGACATATTATAAACAGTTATAAGATATTATAAAATGTTATAAACATATAATATCATATAATCAAATATATACAAAAAATGAGCATTTATGATGTATTTGTTATGATTTTTTATGTCATTATTTCAGATTTTTTCAAACTCTTCTGTGCCACTGGTCAAAAAATAAGGGGAAAAAATGAAAGTTAGCACTTTTCAAGCCAATCACAGGTTCCTCCATTTTATAGACATGCCTCTGTTTGTAGGACCCTCGGAGGTTCCATTCTATAGAGCTTGGGGTTCCATTCTATAGATGTCCCACTTCTAGCCTCCCCCGGGTCCACTATATAAAGAATTGGCCCACCCACCCTTTTTACTTAATCCAAAGGGGGATATCAGAATCATCATTTTTGCGTGGTGTTTTTAAACATTGGATAACATTGGACGGCATTGGATAATAGCGGTTCCTTTTGCCCATACCCTAAGGCCCTATATAAAATGAATTGCATTTTGTTCATTTAGAGATCAAGATAATCCAGAAAACACAAATAAATAAATAAGTAAACAAATAAATAAATAACACATGAAAATACATACATACTTACATACAGACATACTTACACACATACATAATTACATACACACATAATTAATTACATACATTCATAATTACATACATACATAATTACATAATTACATACATACGTACGTACATACATACATACATACATACATGCATACATGCATTCACTCATACATTCATTCATTCATTCACTCATACCTACCTACCTATCTACCTACCTACATACCATGCATGCATACACACACATACATACATACATACATACACACACATACATACATACATACATACATGCATACATACATGCATACATGCATACATGCATACATACATACATACATGCATACATCCATGCATACATACATACATGCATGCATGCATGCATGCATACGTACGTACATAAAATACGTAAAATACATAAAAAACATAAAATACAGATAATACATAAATACATAAAGTACATAAAATACATAAAAATCATAAAACACATGCATAAGATAAATACATAAAATACATAATATATATATATATATAGATACATAAATCAGTAAATAAACAGCAAACAACATATGCATGAAATCATTACCTCAGAATTTAGTACATTATTGCACAAACAATACACGATCAATTCTCAATAAGATTTTCCCTACCTGTTTCCACAGATGTTTCTGCGGATCACGACTTGAGGCAACCAGTTCTGAAACCAGCCTGGTGAGGCCGGCGGATCTGGATTGGAGAAGGATTCGATAAGAGCAGATGAGCTATTGAAGCTTCCGTTTTGCCCTGATTTTTGCGTTCTGTCACATCCATTTGGCCAATCTGGTCACTGTCATTTCACTCCGAGAGTTTTGTTGGAGGCTGTACTGCAGTGCCCCACTCGGTCCCGCTGCGTCCGGGCGTCGGGGCTTCGGAGCTTGTCGTGTACATTGCTGAATTCAGCAGGCAACTTCGCCGTGAGCGACTGAGATGCGACAAAATGCCACAGATGGGAAGAACATGGAAGAACGGTGTCACGTCAAGCTAGGTTTGCGCTCCTCATTGCAACGCAAGAACAGAACCCGTCGGATAGCCACTTCGTCTTGTATTGTCTTGGAGAGCAACGACTCTTGATGTTGCCCTTTTGACTCCAGGCCAATTAGTGAAGAAACGACAAGATATCAACATATTGTCACAGTTTGTCATTGATGTCAAGTACCAGTACCAGAAAATAACACACACAAACAAGACTAAGATGAGCCAGAACACATGCACTCTGCCAAGCTTCCAGTCTGCCAAGCTCGTGCTGTACCTTGTGCCTTAGATCTCATGTTTAATCGTGTCCATGTACCTCATTGAAGACACCTAGGGTGTTACGATCCATGGCAATGGTGAAACCCACGGGATATGAATCCTGGCTGAAATATGGGCACCACAACAGAAGGCTCCAGGTCATGTTTCCGTGGCATCACGAGTTGGCCTGAAATCAGCCATGGCTTCTGTATTTGATTGCAGTTGTTGATGGTAGAATTAAATTATGATGAATTATGATGAATTATGTATAATTGCAGTTGATGTTGGAGGTTTCTTTTGATATTCGCTTTGGATATGTTGAATCTGGTCATATCTGGTCTTAAAAGTTGACCAGTGGATGTCACCGTGAATCGTGAGTCGATGTGAGTCGTTTGAGCCCAGGAGCCAGTTGACCAATCCGAAACTGCTGCTACCATAGGCTCGTGACATTCATGGCACACTGGTGACATGACTGCGGTGAAGGTTGTGGTTTTGTCCGGGCCTTGCCACAGTTGGAGGTAAACATGTCGACAGCATGGACATTGAGGCTGGAATTGTTGTGGCCCTTCACACCGCCACCAAAAGCCCTCACTGAGAAGCCTTGAGCTGCAAAAACTCTCGTGAAAGGAATTTAGTTTAGTATGATTAGTTTCATGATTAGTTTAGTATGATTATATATTTATATAGTATTACTAAGCATGATTTCATGATTAGTTTCATGTGAATTTTCTGCAAGGAACAGGCTCCGGCACCGCCTCCGCCGAAGGTCGATCAGGCAAAATTTGGTGTCCCTTTTGGGCCATTTTTTTTTCTTCAAAGCAGAGAGATCTCTTTGTTCTCCCTGAAAGTTGATGTAAAATAGTGATTAAATAGTGATTATATAGTTATTAAAATACTCTACATCTACATACTCTACATATCTCATCATATCTCTACATATCTCTACATGTAATTCGATTGGTGAACTTTGAGCCTTGCTACAGCCGCGCCTTGCTCCCAGACGGACCTGCCGATGCGAACGGTGGCTTTCAGTGTGCTGTTCTATGCAGCGTGCTCTTCAACCTTGCTGCTGATCAACAAGGCACAAAAGGAACCACTTGCTCTTCGCAATTCGATACAAAAGATACAAAAGCTTTGCAGATGAACTCAGATGAACTATATTAAAATGTGGAGTGTTCCCATTTGTTGCAATTGTTTGCCTACATTCGCATATGCTCCATATCTGTGCCATCCTGTGTCCCTAACTTTTAGCTCAACTGAGCTCAACTGAACTCAACTGTTCCATGTCAGCTAAGATGACACAAAATTGTGAAGATATGTGAGTTCTGTGTCGAAAAGTGTCGGAAATTGTGAAAGGTGGCCATGCACTTTGTGCCGGACGCTTCGTTCATTCTCTTCTGCCAGTTTGTGACCTCATCTCTGGCGGCCGCTTGCTGCATTGGTGGCACTGGGATGCGAATGTTGAAGGAATAGACCAGGAGAAAGGATCAAAAAGAGTGGGACATAGTGGCACCTAAGCTTGATTGGGTACATTGGGTTGTACGTTGAATATGTTGAATAGATTTGAAAAGTACATTAACATAATGGAGTAGCCTCTGGGATCCGGATCTTCCCCTGCGGGTGTCCTCAGGGTGCCAAGGTTCGAGTGATCAAGCTGGCTTCCCCAGATTCGGACATCGAATTCCTTCGTCTCTTGGACACGGTGCAGCATGAGAACGGGGCCACTAGGGGCGCTTGTGATACTTTGTGACCTTGAGAACACTTGAAGCATCATGGCAACCAGTGCCAGGAGAAGTATACCTCATTATATTATATATATATTATATCAATCTGTATTAATCTACGTATATTAAATATTATTAAATTACATTAATCTATATGATTAATTTATCATTGATCTATAATGTGGTTTCATCATGTTTCATCATGTTTCATCATGTTTCATCACATTATCAACCTGATGTTTGGGGTTGCCTTGAATCAGCTGCCGTTCCCAGGTTGGGAGAAAGCTCGACCGTTTTTCCTCGCGTGTCTCATCTTCTTCTTGTGCCTTTTAGTCTGGATCTCAGTGCGAGAATCACGCGAAAGTCATCGAAAAACATCGGTACCATCCTGGGGTTGGATGATCATTTTTAAGAGTTAGGACTATTAGATTAGATTAGAATAAATTAGATATAATTAATGAATATTAATGATATATGATTAATGAATGATAATTGGGATGTAATTAGGCCTATCTTGACCCCGGTGATGATTGAGTGATGAGGGACGTCCACTCCACACCTCCAGAGTACCCAAGGCCAACACGGCGGCTCTGAAGTCTGTTAATGTTGAGACGGTCATCGTTGCGCGTTGCCCGGTGGAATATGCAGCCATCCATAGCCATCCCATTTTTTGGAGCTGTTTCACATGGATTTTGGATGATTTTGGCATTGCTGTACCAGAGAGTGCAGACTTGAGTCCTGCCTCCTGCCTTGTCGATGCTTTGAGGTTCCTGTGCTCCAATCGCAGCGCCTTATCTACACATACACTGCACCAAATCTCCCAATCGGCGCGGAAAATCCACATTCCACCGGTGTTTTGATCATCTCTGAGGTTTCAATCTTGGAGCATTTCACCTTGGGTCGAAACTTACCGACACTCCAAGGCACGTTGGCTCTCTTGGCATCTGGGCAAGTAATAGCTTCGTCGTTTTCTGAGGCTGTTTGGAAAAGTAGGATTTGTATTTGACATTATATATCCAAGAAATTGGAAGAGGAGACACATTTTAGTTACAGATGGTAGATTTGAATGGATATAATGTGAGGGAGGTATTTCATGGAGATTTCTACGTATGCGGGGTGTTTGAGCATGTTGAGAAGTGCAGCAATTCGGCAGTTGCGGATGTTTCAAAGGATAACAAGGAGATGACACCCACCAGATGATTTGCTGCTAAAGACATCTTGGGTTGCTTTGGTTCCCGTAAGCTTGAGTTATCTTGAGTTACTATATATATATATATACTATATATATATATACTATATATATATACACACTATATATATATATACACTATATATATACTATATATATATATATATACTATATATATATACTATATATATATAATATATATATATACCCTGGGAGTCCAGGGCTATTCTTTGTTTAGCCTTTTCTAAAACCCATACTTTGGCGTGACCGCCTAAACTTTGGCACTTCTGAGGTGGGCTCAAGTGAGACCATATAGAAACATATACAAAATATCAGGATAATATTCAAGTGATGCCATACATACAACAATTTTGGGATACCCAGTAGAAATATACCTACCACATCCCAATACCTAAATAAATATACCTACCACACCCCAATACCTAAAGAAATACCACATATATCCCAATACCAAAATGAATATACCTACCACATCCCAATACCTAACACATGCAATCTTGATGCCATGCTGCGAACTACGGCGGCGGTGTTGGTTCTATGGGCATCATGTATGCCTGGGGTGTGGCCCTTGGATTTTGGGGCTATACTGAGCTGATGTTGACAATAGTAATAAACCTGTTATGTGCATCAGCATATCCATATGTCCATGCGATTGGATTGTCATATTAGTTTAAAATTTTGATCAATTGATTGCCTCCGTTCAAGGCCACCAAGATGACGACTACACTATGGAGTCGGATGGCGAACATGTGCAGGCTCAAGGTTCGCCCCCGCCTTGCACCTGTAGAGCAAGGTGATTTTGAATATTTCTCTAGCTCTAATTGGGCTTCACCCTAAAATAAAACTAGTCACCATTGGTTCACTATACCAGATTTGACGAAGTAAGTTGCATCTTCGTTCAATGTGCTGGGAAGTCACTGGAGAAAGTTATTTGCTGATCTAGAGCCGTTTTGGCTGGAACACCAAGGGCCCCCGTGAAATCATGTTCGATTTAGAATCTACACCGGACTCCTAGGAATAGACTCATATCAACTCCCTCGGGGTCTGTTTTTTTTCCTTAGCACGTGCGCTGATGTCTGGCGCCCGCCGCACAAAGCGATTGTCCTCCGAGAGGGTCGAACTTCTCAAGGACCGGACCATATCATCTTGGGAAGTGTCAGTATGGGATCGGGTTCGGGGTATGAAAGAAATTATGATGAAAAGGATGATGACGAGAAGATGACGACGATAATGATTATGACGATGGTGATGATGATGATGATGATGATGATGATGATGATGATGAGAATGACAATTGTTTTCATGATGATTGTTGTGGTGGTGGTTGTGATAATGTTGAAATTCGTACACTATCAGTTGCTGATAATGAATACTGAAATTTATTTCAGTTGTAGAACTTGCCTGCTTTGGGGGCAGGAATACTTCTTGGAGTTGTGCGAACCAGCAGCCCTGGATGAAAGAAAGAAAGAACTGAAGAAACTCAAAGCGAGTAAGGCCCGAACAGCTCTGATTCAACAATTATATTCAACTCTTAAACGATTCGCCAATCAACACGTATCATATTTTCTATTCAAATTCTTTCAACTTTTAAACTGCTCGTCAGTCAGAACATGTCAAGACTTCGATTCACCACGTGAGCCCATTGCTGGTAGGCCTTCAGTTTCGTTGACCTCCAGGGACCCAAAACCAAGATCACGGAAACCAAGGCTTGGGGATTAGCATTTGGTACGTCAGTTGTGGCACGTCAGCTGGCTGTGGCACGCAGGAATATATTTCAGATTCTAGATCAATATATTCAATATTGCACTGGCATTCAATTTTTTTGCAGGTGCAAAAGGACCGAAATTTCGAACTTCTCAAGGGCTATCTGGGCAGCTTTGGTGGCGATTTGCCAACCAAATTAGAAGTTCAGGTGCCGTGACATGATCAGTGAGTTTCTTTGTGTTGTCTAGAGTCTAATCTTTTCAGTCAGTTCTCCAAGAAACAAAAAATCTGATAAGACAGGCAGCGCTACAGTGGATCTCAGAGAACGAGAAGATCAACGAGCACTTCTCAGAACCTTACCAACATGAGGCTAGGGAAGTGATAATAACCAAAACTAGAGACGCAAAAAAATGACCATTTGTTTTGCAATCGGCGAGGCTCAATTTCGATTTTCCCTTTTCCCTGCCGTCCTTCTCTGGAACATGTTGAAAGGCTTGGGCACGTACAGAAGGAAACCTGGTGCGGCAGCTTGCTAGCTACGTCTGCAACTTGCGTCAGAGAAACCGTGCCACCAGGCACGGGTGGTATTTGGGATCATCTATTCGGGAAACATTGAAAATCACCAAACTTGATCAGGAAAGGGCACGAAAGGATGGCAATCCTGAAGACGATTGTGGGGTATAAGCTGCAGGCCTTGTCGTTGGGATGCCGTGCCATAAGAACACCAATGATCGATTTAGTGTGTACTGGATAGTATAGAGTGTGTTTGGGGTATTGACTCCTTACTTCGCCTTTTGTGCATTTTGAAAGCAGTCCTACTTATTGACACCATAATTGGAGTTGATTCTTGCCATTCTTGCCCAAGTGCTTCGCAGGAGCGAGGCGTTCTGATGGAAAATGGAAGAAAAGTTCCCACAAAGGGAAGGTCCACGTTTCAGGCTTGACGCGTGGTACTGCAATATATAGTAATTCCCCCCTGCCAGGTGAGGGTCTCTAGATTTTAACAAAGGTGCAAGTCTTGCTTCTCCTCCTTCCCTCCTCTTCTCGCCTACTTTTGTGCCAGCTGGTCGGTGTGGGCTGGGCTGGACCCGAACAGATAGAACGCCAGATAGAATGCCAGAATCAAGAATGCCAGATAGAATGTCAAAATAAATGCCAGAAAGTATGTCAGAATAGATCGTGTATAGAATGTCAGAGCATATGCCAGAAAGAATGTCGAAACATAATGTCAGAGTATTGTCTATTATGCAAAGTATACTTTCAGATGGTATGCCAGAAGCCATGTCAGAATGGTGCATAGTGTCAGGGCGGGGACCACTCGAAGATTTTTTTGACAGATAATTCATAATAATACATCAAGTGCCAAGCAGATTGAAAAAGATCATGTGCTAATTCTGTCAGGTGGTTCGAAAGAAGGGTTTAAAGAAGAAACAGCCAAAGACAAAGTCAGGACGAGCAGCTAAGAAACATAGCCAGAAAAAGACCGAAGTCAGCCAAGTGAAGACTACTTCAAAACCTGATGATGCAGCTACCACCATGACCAAGACACAGCCAACTGATCACCCTGACATGCTAGAGACACAGGTGATGCAAGACTCACAGGGTCAACCTGAGGTGGTTGATGAGGCCGCCTCTGCTGCACTGTGTGCATCAGATACGGCTTCTCTGTTGCGCACTGTGGGATTGGCATCCGAGGGTTCAAACGGACAAGAGGGGCACGAGGGGGCTGAAGAAGAGACGCGGACTGATGATGAGTGTGTAAAACCCACAGAATACGACAGTAACCCTCATGCTGAGCCAGCCAAGCCGATGATGATGACCCAAATTGATCGAAACCCAAAATGGAAGCGACTGAGAGAGACAAGCTTTCTGTTGGGGGATAGAACTCCTGTTACGCCTGCACAGCCACCTGCCAGTGAGCAACCTCCTTCCCATTCTGGTGCCAGTTCTTCCAACGCCGCTCCAGGTCCTCCAAACACACATGGAACAGGGGCTAGCAGTGAAGCTGCATCTGCAGCACCACATGTCGCAGAGGTGGAAGAATCGAAGCCAGGCAATTCGCCAGGCGTGGAAGATGTGGTGGACAGTGATGGGGGGGACGACGAGAAGACAAAAAAAGCGTCAGCACAGAGAGGGCCACAGAAGGACAGCATAGCATCCAGTGCATGATGTTGTCTTTGCTAATGATTTTGTTTATATATAATTTGAGCAGTCGACCCCACATACTGCTAGTAGTAGCTCGCATATAGTGGCAAGAACCGTCTTACCCTTGTTGTTTCTAGCCCGTTTCTGCGCTCCTAGCTGTGTTGCAGGACCGTCAAGCTTTGGCTCCTCTACAGGAACCGATGGATGATCTCAGGTCCATGCTCCAGCTAGTTATTAATGACACATGCCAGGCTGCTGAAGGAAACAATGTCGAAGAAAACCTGATCGAGGCTCGATCCATCTCAATCCTTTCAGAATAATGCCAACTATGCAAGAATGGAAAGGATATATTGTGCTAGTGCATGTGCTTGTATACATGTGCGCGCGTCATACGAAGGACTTCACCACCACCCAAAAAAATCATCAGCGGTTGGTTGGGGCAGGCCCAGAAAAAACTACGAGAGGCATTGAGGTTGAAGTTTGGAAAGAAAGGAAAAGGTTTGAGTACCGAGGACCCTGACCGTGAGTACAAAGACGAGGATGATGAGTCTGATAATGCCAGCCATGGCAAGGGAGGTAGAGGACGAGGAAGGGCACGAGGCAGAGGCAGAGGAAAAGGTGGTGGACGTGGTCGGGGTCGCAGTAAGGAAGCAAAGTTAAGGAAACCCCCCACAGTTGGGCCTGGAGGTTTTGATGACGAGCCTGAAGAGCCTTCACCGGGGGGGGGCCTAGAAGTTTTGGAGGAAAAGGCAAAGGCTGCTGAGGCAAAGGTCTATCAAGATATGGCAGAAACAGCCGGAGAGAAGCATGAAGGTAAGGATGAGGCAGAAGTTGGGACACCCACGAAAAAGAAACCTAAAAACCGCAGGACAGGTACACCCAAAAGGACCGCCAGAAAGAGAGCGACCCCCAAAAGGAAGGCGCAGGCTTCACCAAAGAAGGCAAAGAAAAGAGAAAACGAGGATGGTGACGGCGCACCTCACGAGATGACACCAAGGACAAAAAAGAAGAAGACAGCACAGGAGCCTACATGTTACTCGTAAACCAACGTTGTACACTATGTGATGTTTTTTCACATCTATACCTATAGACATAATTTAATTTACGGCATTGTACAAGTATCTTCATGTCGATCTATATAGGATCATGCATCGACTTCGCTTAATGACAAGCCAATCATGTATCAATAAATGATAAGTGTATTTTCAACTTGGACCCATTGAGGACGCAAATGTCGCCGAGATGGAGTCTTGGCGCCTTCATTTGCGACACTTGCAGCTGCCAGAGGATTGGGCCAACCGGAAGTCTTGGCCTCAAACCATCATCGCGATGAGCTTTGCAACCCGTGTCAAGTGCGCATGTGATTTTTTCAAGAGAAACAGTCAACCAGTTTCACACTTCTAGGAACTTCACGCTGTCGCCACCGGAAGCCCTACCCTCAAAGACCGAAAAAGTTGATCCCAAGAAGATCCAAGTGCTGCTTGGGTCTTAGCTGTATCGAAAGCACCACCTACGTATGATCCTGTCAAAGAATCCAGGTGCGTTTCAACCTGTTTAAGTTTCCTTAGTATCTGCAAACAAAATTACCCAGGATGGACCGTGGAAGTGGCAACTTCTACGTCATCGGAGTCGAGAACCAGCATGTTGCCCGAGTCAATTTGGCACTGAATGAAAATCTAAAGGCGACACCACATCTAGTCCATCCAGGTGTTATCACTTGTTGCAGCGTTGAACTTGTGATCTGTCTTAGTGCCACAAAATACATCGCAATTGCATGTCTTGAATTAATTCCACTGCACTAGTTTGGTGCATTCTCCCACATAGTGCTCCTGAGTTTAAGACAGCCCATGTCAACGTGCGATTTCTAAAAGAATCTCAAAGACATGTTTAGAGTTTGTCCTATGTCTTCCAACCTGAGCCCGCATAGTTACCCCTCAACTCGGAGGCCAATGACAAGCAGCAAGGTGTCAGCATCACATGGCAGAAACGTGGGTTGCAGCAAGCGTCCATACCTCAGCTGTCTCAGGAAGATCGTACTTGGGAGTTCGAATATGTTAATGGATCTGAACTCCGCCGTACTTCCACCCCATGACTGTTACTGCTTCAGTCCCCATGATTCCCCCATGTGATCAGGTGGCGATGCGCCGTGAAAGTCGCAGCCTGGGAAGACATTGATGCTGTCTAACTATGAGCTTCGGGAGCCCAACTAGCTAGAATTTTTAGCTGGATATGTTTTCCAGGGTTGGTGCCAGTGCTATTACTTGTGTGGGCCGCATTTGATTTCTTCTATCTGTATAGTATAGTATTGTATCGTCCATTGTTTTTGGTGTTCAGTTTTCTCCGTTGGGCATGGCTCAGTTTTGATTCTGCACATGGCCCAACATGCGAGCGGAAAGTATGCCCAGGGGAAACCCAATCCCTGACGCCACGATGCACCTGATCGAAAACAAATTCTCTTTATCCCCAACCGGCATATGAATTTGAATCGACAAACAGTGATTTCGGGTGAATTTTGACTATGTTCAAATTGTCATCGATGCCATGAGTGCCATCCGAAGCACTGGCTCTAAAAACAACTGCAGGTTGTAAACTGTTTGGTTTCGAAATCCCTTGTAGCTTCCCCAAGTGTGATGGCTGGGGGGCGTGGGAAGCCGCAATGGGCACAATCAGCTTTGGCTATCACCCCCAAAGCGGCAACAATGATGCTATTTTTGGGCGCACCCATCCTATTGCTTCTGGGTTGCAGACTAGTCTCGCCTAAATGTCAGTGTCATGATTTTGGATTTGGTGGTGCCATTTCCCTTTTTTTGTTTTCCTACAACTTGAGAACTGCGTCGCCACAGGTTGCATTGCTGTGACTATATCGCCCAGTCTATAGCGTTGGATTCTCCAAATGCCCAAAGAGCACGCAACCCAGAATTTGATTGGTGCTGAGTAGTCAGTTTATTGAACACTGATTGGACATTCGATTTCGTGAAAGGCATGACAAAATCAAAAAAACACTGTTGCCCCAGGATGTGCAGCTCTTGGATATGTTTTGCGGGCAGAAGTCCCTGACCCGAGCATATCGTTGGAACCTCAATCTGACTGACTCCAGAGGATCGGTCATCTTTCAGTGGGATTGCTCCTAAAATATCTGAAGGGAAATCAAAACCACTTGTCGTTGGCACCTATTTTTCTTTGGGTGGAACTATTGATTTTCCATATGGTCTGCTACCAAACTTAAACCCCACACATCCACACATTCACGAAAATCTGTATTGTACAGGCATAGAAAAGATCACAAGTTCCAAGCCCGTTTGGGCACAGTGTCGAATATTACAAGTTGCAGCCCGCATTTTTTCAATTTGTTTGATGCAGCAATCGGCTTCAGGCGAGGCACACCAGAGAACGCTCCATCCTCAGCAATCGTCTTCGCACTTCCAGCTCAAGTAGGGTCAATGTGCTTGCCCACGGCCACAAGGGTTCCTTAGACATATAGGCGAACCAAGAGAAGCATGTTTCGGCTAGATTCAACGTAATATGTGTGTTGATGCATGTATTTGGTATTTACATACAGTATTACAGTCTATTTCTGTATGTTGGTTCTGGTAGTACTAGCGTGCTTCTTATTTAGTGTTGCAGGTGTGGCAACATATGACCTCCGAGGCTTTCATACGACGTCGAGTTGCATCCCCAAGCTCATGATATGACGGGAGTGTCTTGACCCAAGATCTACAAATCAGCTTTCTTGACTACTGCATTCTGAATATGGTAGGATGCATTTCGTGCCACCGTGGCACACATGTGCTAATGAAGTATATTTGAAAAGAAAGCTCGCCCTCCAAGGAAAATGATTCACAATCAAAAATCATCAGAGATAATCCGAGCCCTGGCCCCCCAGCTAATTTTCCAAGATGTCGATATCTGTCACCAACCGTTGCAAAGGCATGGCTTCTTCCGCGCCTTGCAGTATGCCTTGAGAGTGACTGAGAATGGGCTCATGCATGGCGGACCGCCTTGTTCGTCTTTCGTTTGGGTGAACCGTGCTACTAGTGGACGTGGACGGGATCAGCCAGATGGGCGGGATGGTGTCAGAAGCGTTTTTACTGCCAATAAGCCTTTTGGCGTTTGTAGTCGTTTTTGTGTTTAGAGTTAATCGTTCACTTTCCGGAAGTATTTACTATATACTAGACTGATCGATATATTATTTAATATTATTAATAAAAAAAATATTATATTGAATTATTTGGAGGGTGCGCTATTTTCAACCCAGGATTACTGCACGTTTTACTTTATTGGTGATGTTATGCGTGTGCAGATGCTGCTATGTAGTGATAGAGCAGCCTCGCAGCTCTCTTATGCCCTTGTTGACACCAATGCGCTGGCTGCAGAAAGCATTGAGGAACATGGGGATCAAATGGTTCCAGCACGGATTGATTCTTTTCTTGATGAATGACTTTTGCAAGGTATGTTATTTGATCGTTCCTGTGAAGCCCCTCGAACACTCTGGGATTGTTGTTCTCTGTAATTGACATCCCGTGCCAAGTTGGATGGCTACATGGGGATCAAGAACAGCGAAGCCATCACTGAGCTTCGGAACTTCGTCAAAATCTCAGATATGTGCTCTCAGCCACGTCACATGTATATATTAAATTATCTCAGTGAAGCATCCTTGAACTGTTGTAGTTTTAACACGATTCCAAAAAGGTCAACGGGATGTCTGCTTTGGTGATGACATGCATACCTGGGCGTGATTGACATTTTATTATGTTCTTCCGTACTTACATGGTTCGTGGAAAAAGTAACCTTCCCATCTCAAGAATCTCATAAAAATGATTTGGGCATATTAGGTGAAACATGTCCAATGTAAAATGCTGGTAAGTAGCTTTTTTCCCACCTAGGCCGTTCTCGAAGTTCTTGTACAAAAAGCTCTCCAGGGCCAAGCAGGCCAAACTCCGCAAGAAGCTGGAGAAAAAAAACCTCAAGGTTGTTCGCAAGTACGTGGATAGCCAAGGGCGGCGCAGAGTGACACTCAAAGAAAATGGATGAAAATGGTCCTTCACATTGTAATTGTAACAATGATTTGAGATGAATTTTCCTCCGCGATATTTTAGTCACTATCTGTAGGGGTGTTGGCTTATATAATTTCACCCTTCAATTCGATCATAGTATTCTTACCCAGTCAATGCCTAAATTTATAAACGTATAAACTATAAACTTACTCAGCGGACCCAACGAAAAAAGTTTAGCTTTTCTGGGGGATCACCCACTGAAAAAATATTATAATATAAGATATGGTCTTGGCTTTGTCTGTAAAAGATAATGTTGCATCCCAATGGGCTCTGTCACATGATTATTTACAATAAGATGTGTTTGATACGGTCTTTTGGGGGAAACATCGGGGCTCTCAATCTGTCTCGGGAAAGCACATTGGGTTCTACCATGATTCACCCTGATTCACTGATTCAATCCATCTAGTTTGTTCATATGATAGATCCATATTCCATCCAATTGGATGTTTCGTCTAAGGCAAGGGCTTCCAGCCTTGAAGGGCACCCAAGTATACCCGGCAAATTATGGGCGTCGTGTTCGTGACTTGCATCTTCAGCACAGAGATCTCCAGCAGAATTTATGGTATCACAATATTTTTTTTACGAACCAGTAATGTTTTGGTTTGGATCGGATTTGTTTCTAAATGTGTATGCAGTGTATAGTTTTTTATCTTTGGATGAAACCAGTTGAGGCTGAGAATCCAATGTTCTTGCGGGAGCAAACATATGACAACCAAACGCCCGAGTTTGCTGCAGATCCAAACATTGCCCAAGCGCTCAAAAATGCACTTTGGCTGTTTTGGTTGTGAACAAAAATGAATCTCAAATTGGGTCAGGCAATCCACAGACCTAGACCATCCTTATTCCAATCACCCACTGCGATCCCAGGCCAAGACATTGGAAGACTGGGGAATGGCTGACCTCGAGGAGATTCGCGACTTCTTGCGATCTGAAAGGGATCATGGTCGCTTTCAACCAGTGTTAAACGCTGGCTTGTAAATGTTGGCAAAAAATTCAGACTCCAAATGCCGAAAGTAGCCAGTACCATATGCATTGTAATGCGCTTTTGCACGCGTGACATGGGGCAATGGTATGTAACATTAACCAATAGACCTTTTTGATAGTTTTTGGTGGAAAACCCAAATTTTCAAAATACACAGCTTGTGTTTGTACCATGCGTGGCGCCAATTCATACATGTGTGGACTTTGTCCAATGGCCTCGAAAATCATTTGATTTGGATGGAAAAATGACCCCCCCAAAAAAAAATGACCGGGGTTGGACCGTGACCGGACCGTGACCGAACCGTGACAGGACTAAACTTTGGCGTGGTAAGGCTAAACTTTGGCGTGATAAGGCTAAACTTTGGCGTGACCCGCCACCCCCCAAAATATCAATATTTTTGAATATTTTTGGACCAAAAAAAAACATATGGAAAATAAACAGGGTTCAACCAGTGCAACGATTGGCAACTGAAATGATCGTGCTTTGGCTGCGCATCGACTGTTCATTTGTGGCTCGAAGGGAGAAAAAACCCAAAATGCGTAGTTAATCATAAAATTCCAAAAATCAGAGTATACAAAGCATAAAATATTCAAGTATTTTTCAAATTTTGTTGATTTTGGGGGATATACTTGGCAGGACCAGTCAGGGATGGATCCTGTTGCAGAGGCACTGCGTGCGGCCTCGGCACGTGCCGAACGTGCCATGAAGGCGAAGTCGAAACAGCACCCTTCCAAAAGGACACCTGCGAACTCTGACCCAGGTCAGGGTCGCTATGGATATCGGGGAAACCAATATTTTGAATTTTGGTGTTATGTTATTGGGTGATACCACAGGTTGCTTAAACACACACACAAGGAACTGGAACCATATTTTCTGGAACCACCATTCAAGATAACATTGGTTGAAATGAGTTTCGCGAACCATCATCTACCATTTGTTGTGGTTGGGAAATGAAAAAGTTCGATTATATGGGTCAGATCACCAATTCAACGATAACGGCAGAGTTGTAGATGTATAATTTTTGTATGATGGGATGAGTGCATTTAACCCAAGCAACAGTGAGCATATTTCGTACCATTTTATCACTCATCAAATGTGTGTTGTCACTATTTTCTTCGTGGTTCGGTCGGCGAACACATTTTATTAGTTTGTACTACGTAGCTACTAAAATATATGTATTGTGAATAATGTATATCATCATCAGAACGTATATCATATTACGTATATTATTTTGCATTAATGAGCAAGTACCTAAAATATGCATTTTCCCCATTAACAAATTAGTCTGTATAAATTGTTTATGCAATCTACGATTCACAAACCAAATTTGAGCGGGCTTCTCGCTTTTCAATATACTTCTTGATTACAGTCGATTACACATGGCCTACAGCTACTATATGCATCAACGGATAATAGGTAAAATAGATCGATGGAATGCTCACAGCAAATTAAGCAGTTAACAAGCATTCTTTGGCGCCCGTCCCAGGTGAGCAGAAAAAGGTTCCTGAAGAAGCCGGTGCACACCACCCTCCGTCCAATGGCACCCCCGACTCACAGGCAACTACCATACCAGGTGATGACGCCGAAGCTCAACAAATTGCTAGGGAGAACAATGCCAAGCGACTTGAAGAACTTTCAGCTCAACAGCTTAGGACGCCACAGCATTTGATTCGAAAATCTGGCACTTTCACTTCGGCACCAGCACCATTGACAAGGGCTGTTTCGGAGCCACTTTTTGGAAAAGAAGCACCTGAAAAAACGGAAGGAAAGAAATCTTCGAACAAGCCAGGAAAGCATGGAAAGAAACAACACAAAGGAAATCGCAAGACATCCAAAAAGCATGTGGCAACGAAGAAGAAGTCCAAGGCAGTCAGAAAGGCAACAACAAAGTCACGAGCGAAACCCAAGAAAGCCACAACCAAGCAACCCCCAAACCACACCCCTCCTCCTCCCCCAGAATCTTTGCCAGTACCAAATCCTCCCCAAGCATCGATGCCAGTGGCAACTCCTGCCAGGTCAGAAGTGCCACCGCCCCTGATTCCAGGAACCCCGCTGGATGTCGCTGCTATGCTCAACCGTGCTGGTACTTTGGAACAATTAACGCCAGGGACCCCCCGAACCAGCCCAAGCACTCCAGCAGTGCCACCATCTGCCACACCCAGCGAAGCAGAGCCCAAGAGGAAGCCCAGGGATCCCGTGCAACGTGCGCGCAAAGCGCGCTTTTTCAGGACGCTGGAGAGCTGCAGCCTCAGCACCTTTCTTCCACCGAAAAAACATTGAATTCCTTTGGCACGGGGAAAAAACATGTTCCATCAACCAGGGTTAATGAATTGACGTTTTTGTGGGGTGAATGGTGCATGCGTGCGTGGGTATTTTTCACAGTCTGATGATATCAAAATATGATGCTATATGAAAGTTATATGTATAGCGTGTTGCCCTCCCTATCTGCACCAAGAATGCGGGTTTGACCCAGGTCCCAATTCACCGGAAGAAGTGAAGGAATTAGCGCGTCGTGCAAGGGAAGGACAGACTAGTAGTATGGATTGGGAGGCCTAGCTATCGAGCACACATGGCATGTGTAAGGCATGGCGTTATCTTCTTTCGCGTTCTTTTTTACAACTGCGTGCGTGCATATTGAATTGCAAACAGGTTGTGTTGGGCACAGTATATTATAATACTCATATGCATACATACAGCAAAAGTTCATGCACTTATTTCATGTTGGGGCCTGGGCATGTTTGGGTTCCGCAGGAACTTGCAAGAATGAGAAGCTACAGGTACTTTTTGAAGAGTGGTGCAGCTCCGGAGAAGACTGGCAACGCAGTGAAATGATAGTGCAAATGCGTACGAAGAGGACACATCGTGTAAAAGGCTGCAGGAAGTGGCTCACAGAGGCTGAGATAGCTTCTAAGTACCAAAGTCCTGACATAGCCAGGGACATTATCCTGGTGAAGCTTGAAAACCCGACCTTGGCCCAGACCCAGGTCAGGTTTCATCCCGACCTACCTGGTCGCATGGAGCATCGCCAGTTTCTGGTTTACGACTATGCCGAAGAAGTCGACCAAAATGATGAAGTATTGGAATCATTGTTCAGGGTTGAAGATGGGGATTCCGATGGAGAAACCCACCGAAAGTCAAAGGGTTCAAAGGAACGCAAACGTGGCAGAAGCCCTGTCAAGAGCAAAAAGAGCAAGAAGTCAAAAAAAAAGCGCTCCACTTCCTCGAGCAGTTCCAAGTCCAAGTCTTCGTCTTCTAGCAAAAGTTCCAGCTCGTCCAGTAAGTCAAACAAACGTAAGAAAGACAAAAAAAGACGTGGTGAGGACCCAAAGACAGATGCTGAGAGGAAAAAGCAAGAAACGTTGAAGGTCAAGGAAGAAGAACGAGAACGAAAGCGATTGGAGAAAGAAGAAGAAAAGAAGAGGAAGGAAGACGACAAGGCAGAGGAAAAGAAAAAGAAGGAGGCAGAAAAGGCAGAGAGACAGGCACGAGAGAAAGAAGAAAAGGAAGCGAAACGTCTTGAACAGAAGCACAAAGACAAACAAAGATCACTTGCACAGAAGGAGCGATTGCTAACATTGAGACTAACGCAATGTATCGTATATCCGTCTATCACCTAACATGGCATGGTTTATGTTCTAGAACAAGTAAACCATGCACCAGCTTATAGTTTCAAACTGCCCTTGGATTAATGTCCGAGTATATCCTCACAATTCTTGGTGTTTGGATCGATTTCTAATCAGGGTGGATCGTCTTGCTGGCTCAGGAGATCACTTCCCTGAACCAGGCCTTGCAGGACATCTCAAAGCGCAAAGCACAGGCCCAGGGACTGCCACTCGGTTACCTTGCAGGGATCCACAATGGATGAAAACAAGCAAATTTGTAAAACATGAGCCATGATACCACAGATATAAGCCACAAAAGAGTCCAGCCTTTACAAAATTATTTTTCTTGGACTCAAGCCACACCTCTAACTTTGTGTTCTATCCACATCCGAGACACAGCAATGGGTTATTTCATGGATCGATCATCCCAAGCAAAATCCTTTCCGTCTTCTTGGTACCACAGGAATTTCATCCACCAACCAAATGATTGAAATTTAAAATTCTCTAAAAACTCCATGCATGGGTCTTTTGAGAAAGAACAAACCCTATAAAAATCTGAACCACCCAACCGCCAATGCGCCCATGGCACTTCCAGCTCCAAGGTCGCAAGCGTTGAAGGATGCGATGCTGGACCATCTCGAGAATGAGAAGAAGGCCCTGACCGATTTGCGCAGCATCTTGGAGAACCACTTGGAGAAGGATCAGGAGTGGGGTTGTGATTTATCAAGGGCACAATGTATCATCATCGCAACAATGTTGGTTTTCCGACATGATTGCCAAAAAAGAAGTCAAAACCATGGAGGTTGCCACGGCCACGTGGAATCTACAACACAATCAAGTTCAGTTTGAATTCATGTTGGCAGGTTGATCAGATGGAAAGAGATGCCAGCCGGGCTGCGGCTGCTGTGAAGCAGTATAGGGAAAACAAAAAACGTCAGGTCTGATCAGCATCAGATCTACAATTCGAGTAAGATGTTCTCGAACTGGGGTTTAACACCAGCCTGTGCGCGCAAGGGGAACCCGACAATATATGTTTACCGACATGATTCTATATCCGATATATCTTCTATATTCTATATTATATGATGTTTTGAAGCATTGCAATTCTGGTGGCCTTGCTTTTCGCACAGTGGCATGGTGTGGTGTTTGCGACACACGGAAGGTGTTGCCCAAGCACACTTTGGGTTTTCGCTATGTCCAACAAGTTATCGAATTACCCTCGTTTGCTCGGTGTGCGCATATTTGATCAGAATGCTTTACACATAGTTTCAGTTGCTTCAAAATATGTCAATATGATAGCTACTAATCCAGAATAGCATTTTTAGACCATTCATTCGTACATAATTTTTATGGATTCAAAGATCAGCTTTGTTTCAAATTGTGATCCGCCACACACTGAACATCCAAGCGGGGCCGTCAGTTCCGGCATGATTAAAGTTGTCTCAGCCCTCATGCCAATCGGAAACTTTGGTGATCACGTGGGAATAGCAAAATTTTAATGCAGACCACATTTGGGGGGCGAACGATCAGGCAATCTTTTGGGGCAAATGATTGGTGGAATTTGGGATCTTCATTCACCCGCATCGGTCTCTTTGCCCAGCCCTCGCAGGTGGCCAAGCCTTTGTGGCTCAGCACGAGATCGACAAAGTTGCCAGTGGAGCTCCTGGGTGGCAGGTCAGATCCCGATTCGACTAGACCGCAATGCTGGTGTTACTTTTTAAACCATGTGGGGAAACAAATATTAATAATATCTTCCATTATTATAATTTGTTTCATGCGTGGTGCTTATCGGAAAATTATCTTAAATATTGTCCTATTCCGCTATAACATATTCTGATTTTTTTCCAATATATATATGCGCTACCCCTGCAGTGATGGGTTGCAAAGTTGCCCCATATCTTTCAGTCGGTTACATGCCCAGTAGTTTCAAGGGTGTCCTCCCCCTTACCAAAGATTATATATGGAGTTATATTTTCCATCTAATAATCTAATATATCATATCACCCAACCCCATTTAGTGTTGAATTCTTTACGTGTTGGGGGGCATGGTGCCATGGGGCACAGAATCTCCAAAGCATGGGAAGAATATATGTTTTTTTCTGTAACATATCACCATACACCATCAGTTTCAAAGAATCGCACAACCAATGATAGATGTATTTCACACCGTGTGGTGGCACGTTGCAAGATATGCATATTATTAAATTGTATTTTATTGAATGTGAATGTTTCTTCTTTTTCCTGGGCATTACCAGCTAGAGCATATAAAATAAATAAAACAAAGTATATAGGTGTCGTCTCGCTGTTGTTTGTTGGCTGGTCTACCATAGCTTTGTGAGGTCAGCAGTGTGGAGGCCGCAATGGAGACTGCTGCAGCTCACCTTAAGGAAACTCAGCTATATTTCCCCACCTGCCAGGTGATGGTCTCTAGATTCTAATTTTAACAAAGGTGCAACTCTTCCTTTTCCTTCTACTCCTTATCTTCTTCCTCCTTCTCCTCCTGGCCTCCTCTTCTCAGCTCGTCGCCGAACCTCATATCGTGAGCTCCGAACTGTGGGCTACACCTGGACCTGGACCTCATATCGCGAGCTCCGGACATTGTGGCCTGGACTCGAACAGAGAGAATGCCAGGAGAGAATGCCATACAAATGTGAGATAGACTGCCAGATAGAATGTCAAAATAGATGCCAGATAGAATGCTTGATGCCGAAAACACTGTCAGACTAGATGCCAAAAAAAGAATGTCAGACTAGATGCCAGATAGAGTGCGAGAAAGAATGCCTGCAAAAGATGCCAGATAGAATGCCAGATAGAATGTTAGAGAATATTATATGCCATCAATACTTCCAGGCGGTACAGCAGAACATGTGTCAGAATAGTGTGCAAAGGTGGTGGTCATTCGAAGAAAATCTTTCTTACCCGCTGCTCACACATGAATATCGGCACACCTTTGAATTATCTTTCGTTTTTGTGCCCAACTCAGGAGGCAGGACATCAAGGATGTCACGACATGACTTACAACATGGCCAAGTACTCTGGCCATAACCCTTCTCGTGACTTCTGGCGTTTCTGTCGGATTCCTATCGTGCCTTGTGCGGCACAACTCAACTGATTTTTTTTGTGGGCAGCAGGCAGGTGTGATTGTCAGTTTCAACCTGTTGTAGGCTTGTGCTCCGACCACTGTGTTTTTTACCTAGTTTTTTCCTTGGGGATACCAATACCGCTGAGGACATAATCAAAATCAAAGCACCATTGAAATCACGGAAAAGCCCCGATGGGTACGATCTTGTGGATCTGGATGTGCTAGACCCCTTTGATTTAGTCCACTATTTGTGGAATGTCATTGGAATTGACGTTCCTGAAGCTGCAGTTCGCCAATATTGGCAGCACCATCGTTCTCGAGGGAGTGCTTGGGCTCTTCACTCCCAAGCTTCAGAATGTACAATGCCTTTAGGCCTCTATGGGGATTCAGTGAAGGTGAGATCCACCTACCAAGGACTGGAAAAGATGGTGGGCATATTTTTAAATGTGCCACTGTATCGCCCCCGCAGCGTGAGGTGTTCCCGGTGGCTTCTTTGCACTGTGCAAGAGCATCTGCTCCACAGCCACCACACATTGGATTGCATTTTCAGATATTTGACATGGGCTTTGAACCAGCTTTACACTGGTAAATTTCCCACATGCGGTCCTGACGGGGAGGCACTGACCGGGAAGGCTGCCTCCAGAGCTGGACACTGGGTGTGCCCAAAAAATAAGTTGACATTCCAGGTCACCGAACTCCGGGGCGATTGGCTTTGGCATAAGCAAGTATTTCGCTTTCGAAGCTCGTGGAAGGGAGGGAGTAAGCAACCGGTTTGCTTTAAATGCAAAGCTTGGGCTAAGGGATCCGTAAATCAGCTCTATTACCACATTGAGGAGAACTCACCTTTGTGGTCGACTGAGTATCCAACTGTGGTTGATTTCTTGGTTGACCAGTGTCCAGATCGACCGTGTACTTTGGCTTATTGCGATTTTGATTCCAAGCTTTGACCTTTTAAGGCAATTTTGGTTTTCAGTGGTAACACCTGTTTGAAAGAGTTTCGGGTCTCATGGTAGGGTGAAGGCATGGCGCATGCATTCAGGCCCCTTGGTGTGCTTACGCTATTTCCATCAAGATTGCATCCGATGGTGCAGTATGCATACCATTAACCTTGGCTTGTGCTATGGCACTAACGGAAGTGCACTGACTTCTGGCATGACTTATGCTACCATTCGCTTGGGCACTGTGGGGACTTGCGCGACATACATTTCTACCCTCACAAGACATCATCAAATGCTCTGTCTCATTTATTTTTGGGGTTCTGTGAAATTCGACCTGTGGAATTCGGCTTGGGGAGATGTTTCTGGCATTGGATAGCTGAGGATGAATCTCATAGAGGCTTCCTTTTTCGGAGACTACCAGACTGAGAGCCTTCAAGATCTTTTGGATGAGGCGTATCGTCAGTTCAGAGCTTTCTGCAGACAACAGAAGATATCTTGTAGCCAGCCACCTTTTACTGTCAAGCTGGCAGCTTGGCAGCTCATTTGTCTTATGATTCCGTGTTCTGCTGGTTTTTCTATATCCTTCGAAGCGTCCTCTTCGATTCAACAAAGATAGTATGGCCGTATGGCGTGTTTGTCGTCATGGAACCGCCAACTCACTCGTTTACTTTACTCGGGGAAAGGGCCCGATGCAAATGCACCATTGATTTCAAAACCTAGGTGCTGAAAAATCTGGATGAAGCAATGCTCACTGCAAAGGCCTACTGTGGCCGGGTGATCACTGAATGGCTAGCACATGTGCTTTCATCTGCCGTGCGCGGCCCACTGAGAGACAACGAACAAATCCGTTGGGCTGCCGTCACGGTGATTCTTGTAGAAAAAGATGTTTTCAATCATAGGCATTTGGAAAACATGTTTATCAAGGCGGCGAGGAATCCAATTCCTTCCCGATTCCCGGCAAGCTGATCTTAGGAATGCGTTGGCGCGCTTTTTCGGCCTTCTTGAAAGGTCTGGGCGGTACTTGACACTTGCTAAGCTGTTTAATTTTTTATATCAGCACTGCCAAAGTCAGTTCACACTTGGTGTGGATGCTTGTGCATATTTCCAAAGATTTACTCACGTCGTGTGGTTGCAATACTTGGCGGCCCAAATGAGGACTGAATCGCAAGCAACCCTGCTGAATCGTGAAGGTATGGTCTTTGCCAGGGGACACCTCAAATTGACTCAAATCAGCCAGAGGCACTTGGGCCCAATTAAGATCATCAGAAGACTGCCAGAAGCACCATGGAATATGTCTTGGTTTGCTGATCCATTTGGCTTGACGAACTGTTTTCGCCTTGCATGAGGCAGGGGAAACACTATTGGGTGCTCCGGCCGAAGATCCACGTAACTTTGCGCAAGTACAGCATGTCGATACATAGCAAATGTTCCGGCCAAACACGGGAAATACCCCACATACACAGTTTGCACATTTTTCCATGCGTCTTGCTTGGCGAGCTATTTTTTCAGCTCAGGTTCTTGGGCATTTGCTCAAACAAATCAGGGTGGAAAGTGCCTTGGCCACTTAGTGCTCAGCAGTCCAGGTTGGAAGAAAGTTCAGAAAAAATCCTGTTTGATATTTTGTGATCTCATATTTTGAGATGAGATGGGATGACACAGACTGCGGTGACAGAGGGATGCAATGAGCAGTTTCCAATAGAAGCTGCGATGCGATGAGATCAGATGAAGTGAGGAGAGATTCAATATTCAAAAGACATGGCATCAGATTGACAAGTCAGGAGCTTGTTGCTGCGAAGCACAGTCTTTGCTCCGCTCTATAGGCTATAAGCGTTTCAATTTGGAAACTTCCGCCCCCGGCTTGCCCGGGTACTACTTGTATGAAGCATTGTCTTTTTTCCACTGCACGCCTCTAAGCCAACACAACCCTGCTTAGGAACCAACCCCCGGCACGAACATTGCTTCGCGGATGAAGATAGCATGCAGTGGCTAAAACGAAACCTGGCCTATTTTGAATAATCATTCTAGAATTGCGTCATGCTCTTGATTCAAGACAGACAGACGCTTTCTCTATCACCCCACCACCGCCCAAGGAGCTACGCTCCGAGCACACCAGCTCAAGTCCAAGCAGCGGCGTTGGTGCCTCCAGCTCGGGAAGTTGAGGCAAAGCAGCTAAACGACGGCTGCCACATTGCTGGCCATTTCACAATGGCAGATTTTTTTCAATCAAGACCGTATGGAGAACATTGCGAAAACAAATGAATTTCATGTGCCTGGCAGGCTTTTCAGTATGACTTGGCGCGTGAAGAAGTTACTTGAACCAAACTTATTATAGATGCAATTTGGAAGACTTGGTGCCCAATGCCTATCCTGGATTTGTTAATGAATTAGCTGGACATTTGCAGCCTAGGCTGAATGAAAGTTCTCGTCGTCGAAAGTGAACGTCTTTGAAGCATTGGCGCGTGAAAAGTGAGCTGTTGATGGTTCTTGGGAATCAAGATCTGAAAATCTACAGAAATAAGCATGACATCACCATGACCAGCCGTGACCGGCCGTGACCGGCCGTGACCGCGAAAGGCTATATTAAGTTTAGCCTTTTATATAAAGCCTAAATAAAGTATAGCCTTTGGAAGGCTAGGGTATACTATATATATATATATATATATATATATTGCCATACCATATATTGACATCCTTGGGACGGAAAGCGTGGAAAAGCACTGCAACTGAGGCTATTGCTGGTGGAGCAGTTATCTATGTGATTTCTGACGAAGGTTTCAAGATTGAAGGATACACTTGGCTTCTTCTGTACTTTGCGCCTTTGATGAAAGGTTGATGCGTAGGTTAATGAGCTGCCTTGTTGATCGTTTGTCAGTTGGTTGTTGGTTGGTCGTTGGTCGATTCGCTGGTATTCTCCAGTTCCAAATGGCATTTTTTCCAGGTTTTTTTTCAACAGCAACCGTCCAAAAGAGAGCATTCCTCAACGTGTCTCACCACGATGCTGAGGTCTTTATCGTCACTGAGATGGTCTTCGTGAAGTTTATTGTTGACACTGTGCCGATGTCCACCTGGACTCGAGTGTACTACAACAACACCTTGTACCTCGCCGAGATCAGCGCGTCACGTATTTACATGTATTTACTGCTGGGTTATCACTAGACATCCCTAGATATTTTGTTTGATATAATGAAGAGAATATATATTATATGATATTATATGCACATGACATGCCATTTGGCACCTGACAGCTGCCATCTGCTTCGACTGTCTTCTTTGGCCGTCTCTAGTGAATTGCTTTACGTCTGCCTTGGCATTTGCTTCTTTGGAGCCTTCCGTTCGCCTCTGTCTGCATAGAACATAGACCATGGAAGCGGCTATGGTTTTCTTCCTGTTGTGGCATATGGGTATGGATCAATATCTATTAATACCATTTTTAGGGGGATGAACATCCATTTACCAGCTATTTTGATGTGAACTACAGGGGTACAAGGTTTTGACACACTGCCATATGGCAATAAACGTAACATGGCAGAAACAAGGTCTACAGAATGGATGCAGAAAATATCCAGAAATCACCCGATGATCCGATGATTTCCAGAGGTCGATCCCGCTGGTCCTGTTGTCCTCCACGATGATGGGCTTTGGAGGCTTTCTGGAGGCAGACTGTAGGGGTTCTATAAGGGGGTAGACTATAGGAGTAGACTATATGGTTCTATATGGTTCTATAGCTGCCATTGGAATCATTGGAATCATTGGAATCATTGGAATGATTCCGATTGCAGTGAGATGATGAAACTATATGAAGCTTCAGTCTCAGAAAAATGATATCAAGACCTTCAAACTTCGAAATCAGGTGGCGTGGGCATGGCAGCACATAGCAGTTGTCGGCCTGTCCTGCGTTGTTGGATCTTTGGACCGCAAAACAGGGAGATCTTTTTTTTGCTCCACTGCAACCTGACGAGCTTCCTTAAGAAAGGCGAAAGGAACCACATGGAAACACAGACCAAGAATTCTGCGAACCAACTTTCTTTGAAGTCTTCTCAGCTGCGACCATCAGGCGTTTTTTCATCGTTTACTAGCTTGCAGTTTAGAGTTAGAGTGTCCCATGGACCACATCCACAGCCCCACAACAGATCTACAGATGGACAATTTGTGCTGAGGAGTGGCAATTTCTTACTCGGGGTCGGGACCTCAGAAATTGTTGCTGTGCAGTCGGCCCAAGTCGAAGCTAGGCTGGTGCGACTGAACAGAATCCAGATGCAGAGGATGCAGAGGATGCAGAGGATGCAGACTGGAGATCATTGGAAGACTAACAGGAAAACATACAGACACAACATGACACAACTATTGGAAAACTCAGGTTTCACCTTCGAAAGATGGTCTCAGCCACAACCTTCACAGTCATAGGCGGGGGGGTTCTGTGGTTCTGTCTCACAGAGATGTTTTGTGAGACGTTCGGTTGGAAGCCAGACTTCGCAAGCATGTAGCATTTAGATGCATTTAGCATATATAGATGCATCTAGGCAAACCTATTGTCACGTTTCCCGAATCTTCTTCCGTGGTTCCAAGATCGTAAAGCCATGGAGGGTTTTTTGAGATCTTCCCCAGGAGTGCTCTGCAAGCTGATGACGGTGATGCTGAACGACATAGTGCCTTGGACGGCTGAGGGATCCCAGAAATCTGATGGATCCGCTGTGTGTGTTGAGGTTTGGAGCCAACATTCAAATCTCATGGGTCATATTGGGCTCCTTCTCTGTATCGCTGCTGGCTTCTTGGCAGCATTTGAATCCATAGATCCACGAAGATCACAAAGAGACAACTAAAGAGATGTGTAAGTTGATGAAGTTGTGAGCTCTGCATAACGGCAGCTGCTTCAGCGTGAGCCTTTGTCAATGACCTGAGGCTTTGCATATGAACGTACCAAGGCCACGTGCGAAGCGAATCTAAGCCCTATAAGGTTGATTGACAACATGACTTGGGATATCCCACCATATAAGGGACACACCTCTTCAATAGTCCTGGCCGTTTATTTCCAACCGCAACTTAAACAGCTCCGACATGACTCCAAAAGAGTTGCTTAAAGTGAACGAAACTTCTGTGCTCGACTCAAACTTTGGCACTGATCTTTGAGAGTTCCTTGGCTCGTGGCACCTTGATGCACCTTGCAGGTGGTGCCAAAGTAGCTGCCACTGCGTGTGCCACAGCTTCGATCAGCTTCGTTGGGACCTGAGTGCATTCGGCGCAGTTGGCCCAGCAGTTCGTTGCGGCCCACGTTGAGGTCGCTGCACGTCGGCAAATGAAAAGTGTGATCAGCTGCACCTGAACTGAACCTTTGCAGCGAATGGCATGTGAAGGGCTTGGAACAATTTTTTTTTATCATGGGCCGAACTGAATCTCTGCTGGTTTGCTCATTACGCAGCCATTACAACCAAAGTTATGGAACCTGATGGAGAGCAAGTGGCTGACGAAATATCAACCCGTCGATACATATTATACAGTGCACAGTTTGAGAAGTTTGAGGTGTATCATTTCGTTCAAAGAGTCACCTCCAGGGATTGCTGGTGAACTTGAACCTTGTCAGAGTGGTATGCCAGGGATTGCTGATTTTCCGTCCCCATGGTTTTCCATGTTGTTGTTTACTTTTATGAAAACATTAAGACGTTGGAGCAAACGGATGTTGCAACGGATAATCTTCTTGTTTTCCAACAATCGGTGAACGCTGCGACCTCCGGCTACAATGCCTCGAGTGTCTGACATGATGGCTGCAAAATGGCAAGTGGAGAAATCAGGCCTGGTGTTGAAAGTTTAGCAGCTCCCCAAAACATGCAGAAAAGTAGAAGTCTTCTAAAACAGTGGTAACTATAGGCAATTACTCTTCTTTCTCTAAGATTGCTCTAAGATTGTTGGTTATAAAGATTGTTATAATGTTATAGAATGTTATACAATAATATGTTATGTAATGTTATATAATGTTATATAATGTTTTACAATGTTATATAATGTTATATAAAGCATATCCCCATTCCCAATTCTATCCCCAGTTTGGTTGGCTATATCCCCAGTACCCGCTGATTGTGCCAGGTGAGGCCCCTGGACTGCGCGGACTGCGCGGACTGCGCTTCTCGGAAGCCACAGTTGTGGAGGTTCCTGCAGGTCAGGCAGTAGATGGCCAGATGGCAGCTGGTGTTTTTCTTTCAGTATAATTATGCCTATATGATTGTGGTGGTGATGATGATGATGATGATGATTGATATTATTATTGATTAATCACTACATTTACGGTTGTCATCATTGCCATGTCAGCCCCTGAGACAACGTGGTCCTCATCGACTGCAGCAATGCTGCAGATCCGTGGTTTGATTGGAGCCTGTTGGAGAAAGCAGAGGCGGTGTAGCCACCGAGATGGGATGGGACAACTCCAATTCCTGTTGGAGGTTTAAAAACAAGTTTAGTCATCAAACTGTTTCCATTTTCAATCTGTCAACAGTTGATATAGTATGATATATAGTTAATGCATTCCCAGTTTTATTGGGGAATTGTTTCATGCTGTTGCCATTGCCCAATTTCAGATGCCTTGGTCCTTCTGTTTAAGACTTACTTTGGCTTGGGGGGTAGTTTAGGGGTTATTGAGGCTGATTTATTTTTATTTTTACCGCTGGTTGAATTAAGGATTATCTTCAAAATGTTTTAGGCACCAGAGCCTAAACTAACCCGAAATAAACCCCAAACAAATCTCACATAAACCCGAAACGAAACCTACTGTAAACGAACCTTACATAAGTTGTAAGCGAAACCAACATCAACTTTAAACCACTCGCACATCCCTAAACCAACCCCAAATCAACCCTAAGCTCCAAATCAACTCCGAATCACCGGAGGCGCAGGAGGCTCAAGCTCGCTCCAAATCAGCTCCACCTCGACGGCTTGGATGCCTGGAAAAAACACCCAGAGGGGACAGTTTTTCTGGCCAAAAAACACCAACAAAATTGCCTGGTAATGAAATCTTATGAAATCATATGGAATCATATGGAATAATCAAAAGATTCAAAAGGTACAAAGGAATCTTTGACCATCTAACTATTTATATCTATTTATACTATTTGTATGATGAAATTAGGACTATTGCAACAAATTGCAACTATCATGTATTTCTTGTGGTATCCCGATGGTGCACGAGAAATGATCCCCAAGAATTGACGGTGTCCCAGGCCTGAAAGGACCACATCGTGCGCTGAGACGATGTCGAAAGGCTTGATTCATGGGGCGGGGCCAATCTGAGTCATGGTGATCTCCAGAAATCTACTGTTAAAATTCTGGAATCTATATATCTATCATAGAGGTATTACAGTATCTTGACACCCACCTCAGGGTCTTGTTTGGATTGGGGCTGAGGTTCCAGATGCCAGGCCATGGGCTCAGGATGTCCCATCAGCATCGCACCCGGCGCCGTCCGGCAGAGTGCCTCAGGCGAGATCGGAGCTGTCCAGACGCCACTTGGGAAGGAAACGCCGAATCTCCAGACGAGAGTCCGGCAGAGGAGATGGAGTTCCCATAGGGAACTCCTTGGAACTCCTGGAAGAGGCTTTCTTTTGACCCATCCAGCGATTGAACAGTGGCCAAACTCTTGAATGAATATAGTTATCATATAGTTATCATCACGATTTGTTGCTATGGACAGAAATGGTCAAAAAAACTTAGCTTCAACAATTGAGTTCTCGCAGGAGGCGCTGCTTCACCAGCTCCCCCGCCGCAGTCGCCGGCGTCGGCGTCGGAGTCGATGGCTTCGGGCTCCGAGAAGCACCAGGCGCAGACATATGGGTGTGTCTGAAAATAGTGTACCCCTAAACCCAATGGTTAATGATCATTATCCCTATTAAATGGCTATTTCATTGGGAATATACCCTATTTTCAGACAAACCCATATGCAGATATGAATAGATATTGATACCCTCTGGTTATTTAACATAGCCATGGTATAGATGGCCCATAGAAATAGATGGTTTACCTATTAAAAATGGTGATTTCCATGGCTATGTTAAATAACCAGATGGTAGATTAGCCAAAAAAAGCACAAACCGCACACTCAAAGATGTATCCACACATAACCATAGCATGACATAGCATTCAGATGAGATTACACTATATTGCATTGCAGTTCATTGTACTATGTTATCCACTGGAGATGAACAGACCAAGAAATTTGAAGGGTACCATGCCAGCCATGCCACACGGGTGACCGCATGCAATTTTCATTTGACATACAAAGGTATGGAGTCTGGAGTATGTTTTACCTTTTTAGAATACATGTTTGTTTCTTGCATGTACGCATGTGTTTGCTGTGAAACAAATGCCGGATGTGCAGGCACAACCGGGATCATATCCCATTCAATTCTTTCCCAACGTACCATTGTCCTTGAAGGATGTTTCTTGTATCTCAAGATATCTCAAGTAGAATCATTGATCTCAACGAGACTCGTATCGTCAGGGCGCTGGTGAGACTTTTCGTGCTTGGCTTGAGCAAAAACCGGCCATGATGCGTCTTTCGCCCTTTAGGCGGGAACCGAATCGGGAACCGTCAGACCTCCGTCACCACATGTCCTGGTCATGTCCGTCATGTGATCTCTGGAAAGCGGGAACGGCGGGAACCGGCGCCGAGGTGCGAAACCGGTGTGGCGTGGGACTTTCCTTTAGCCAAAAGCGAGAAACGTGAACTTCTCTTACAGCACTTTGCAGCCACAGAGAGGTGCGAGTCTGCGAGTTCGTTGAAGTGAAATGTTCAACCAGAAGCTTTCAGAAGGCTTCCAGAAGGCTTCCAGATTTATTGGAAATTGGATGGAAATTGGAATTGGTCCTGAAGAATTTTGGATCATGGAATCATGGTGTTCACATTGGTGTTCACATTGGTGTTCCCATTTGCTCTCGGCTAAAGATCAAAAAATGCGTTGCACCAGCTGTGGTGTGACCAGGATAGCAGAGGAGCAAGCGATGCAGGCTGGGTATGCTTTGTGATAGAAGTTGCACCAGAGTGCAGGTGATAAGATGACAATACGTCGCGGGTGGTGAAACATGTTTGCGTCAAAATGGCGAAAGGAAGCAAGATATTAGATTTGAATAGATTTGATCTGATTTGATGATATATGATGATATATGATGATATATGATGATATGATTTTATAGGATATTGGATATGTTTTGATAATTAATGATAATATCATATTATTGTTCAATGTTGTTCATTGAGGATGAGGTGTCCCGCAGTGAGGCAGAGCATGAGGTGGAATTGGCCTGGCGTGAAGAGCGACGGCATCGGCACTCCTTGGTTTCGGCCAAAGCTGCCATCAGTAGGTGCAGTCGTCGTCGAAACCAAGGGGAAAACATGGGAAACACTTGAAGGATGCTAAGCCAACTTGCTGAGCTATTTTTTCTCTGATATCATTTGTGATCTGATAAGTACCATCGTTTTCATTCAGATTTTCCCACTTTTTTATGATATTCGAGCTCAGCGGTGGCGCTCACTCGCCGGTGTGCAGGATGCGGAAGAAAGGCCGACGGATGAGTTTGGGCGCTTGAAGCTGTCGGCCCAGGAAGACAAACACAGAAGAAACGGAGATGCCGTAGATGCTCAACCTCACGTGAGAAGCACATGCCAAGTGTGAAGCACAAAGGTTGGTCCCAGTGAGATCAGCACGTTTCAAAACGTTTCATAGAACCACTTTCAAGAACCTTCCATAGCTATCCATAGCTATCCATAGCTATCCATTGTTCCAAGGTGCTTTTGCTTGGTGGTGAAATGCGAGCCGTCGCGGCGTCGCGTAGCAGTTTTTTAAATCATGCTGTGGCATGCTGCTCTTGGGGTGGATATGGGTGGATCAAAGACTGGCCGAACGACGATGAACTACGCAACACATGCTGTCTATGACGAAGTATCACCAGTGATGAAGCTTTCATCCACTGGCACCGGGTGGTGTGAGGGACGCAGCCCAGCCGACCTTAAAAGATCCCTCCTGAGCACCAGGTTGACAGAAAGCTCAGGAGAGATTTTGCACGTAGAATTCTGCACAATGCAACAAATTCATGGAAAATGTCGACCCAGCTGCTTCATGAAACATGGGAGCTTTCAGCTCGAGTCAGTACGGCCAGACCGTCGGGGCAGTATTTGAGGTGTCCGCATGGACATGTCAATTCTTGATGCGTGCCATGGAGTTTGCCTTTCCCTCACAAGATCTCACAAGTATATCGCAAGTATGAAGTAAACGGACTTCAACAGGTTTTGACGAGCATCTTTGGTTCTTTTTTGCTGACAACTGTACGTGCCTGAAAGCAATTCCCATGTTGCAGTTGTGACTTCACCTATCTTTACAATAACTTTCGGCCTTTTCCTCAGCTTGAGTCTGTGAACTGAAGCTTCATGACAATGGACATCAATGGACCCATGAAGCCAACATGCCCAATCCGTTGTTCGAGGAAAACCCAACGTGATACAATTTAGCCAAAGGCTTGAACTGCACATCAGAACATATAAGAACTGCAGATATCGTTTGTAGCAGAGCCTACACAATTGCCAAACAGCTGGTAGAGCAACAACCACTGTTTTGTGCGTGCGAGATTGAAGCGAGTTGACAAACACGGGAGCCTCATCGTTTTAACTTGAGCTTCTTGACATGGGGACCTTTCGTCGGCACTTGAGCGTTTTGCTCTGGAAGAACTCCGTGCTGAAACGCCACTCGGATGGATTGGGTCGTGTCTTCGAAAGTTTCTTGGTGACGGTTCCCCCACAATTGCTGGTGACATCTGGTGACAAGGTGTCACACCTTCAAGGTGTCACAAGGTGTCACAAGAATTCCTGAGCAGCAGAGTTTGGGAACGCTGGAATTAGGCAGGCTGTTGTGAGGTGTGATTCTCCACAAATTTCAGACCGCCTGAAACAAACATTCACCAAATTCGACCAAACTTCGATGTATGTTTATAGTATGTTTATAGTATGTTTATAGTATGTTTATAGTATGTTTATATAGTATGTTTTAGTATGTTTTAGCCATTGCCATGGGTCAAAAGTGGCCAATATGGACACGAGGTCGGCACCCGAGGTCGGCACCCATGCTCGTTGTTCTCCGAGCTGTTCCTAGCCATCGGTTCCATCGGATTACTGACACTGGCTAGACACTTGACCTCCAACCTCGAGGCTGGGTTCTGAACAACATTCATAGCCATAGCAGCCACAGCCACAGATATGATCAGACGACATGGCACTAGGTGATTCAATCTTTGGTGTCGCTGATCCAGGTTTTTTCCGGCCTCTTGAGTTTGCCTGCGACATGACTTCGTAGTCAATGGATCGGATAGTTCGCATTTGATGCAAACGATGCCAATATGAACATGTCAGAAGCACAGCCACCCGCAATATATATATATATATTTGCTTTTATGGTATAGACTCATGATGCTCATCATGGGTGCAATTTCTGTGCCTTTCGCTGAGACACAAGATTTTGAAGCTGAACATCATGTTATGAAGTCCATGTTGGTGCGTTTGCCGGACCCGGGGGAACCTGTGGGAGGGCATCTTCAGAGCTCTCAGTGGGGTTTCTTTGGGCAGAGGTCTTGGTGTCACTTGGGCCTTGAGATATTAAGCCTTCATAGTCATTCCTATTACCATTCCTATTACCATTCCTATAACCATTCTCAATCCACTTCACCTGTGAATGCTTGGATCAACTGGAGTTTCCTGTTGAAACTGCGAGTTGCATGCGAGTTGCGCGAGGAGTGTGCAGAGTTCTTGCCCGACTGTTCCGTGGAGCTGGTAAAGACAGAAGCGCATAGTGCTTCCTGCGTGGAAGGTGCTGGCGGGACGTGTGCACTTCATCGCCATCCGTTGATCAATCCGTTTAGATCACACAAGGATGAACACATCATGAAGCAATTCATTAAATCTTAAGAGTTCTTCTGGAGAATCGACCGAATTCGTCGCTTTTTGTGATTCAAGAGCTTTTGAACAGGTGTTTCAATATTCTGTAAAGTCTACTTGCAAGAGATCTTGGAACGCTGATTCGTGTGAATCGCAAATAGACACCTTCGAAGCGATTGATGTGAGGCATCACTTTCGGCTGCAAGGGAGACGTGCATCATACAGGTCGGCCTGGAGTGTCTTGGTGCCAGGATTTGAGTCAGTCTGGAAACACAACATTTTACTTTGACATGATCCATGACATGATATCAGATCCAATATGTTTTCATTGTGTTTTCATTTGATGGGCGCACACACACACAGTGTTCGATGTTGCTTGCAAGAGTGGGACGCAGATTTGTCCAACATTTCACGCAAACTTCGGCGAGGTTTGGGCGGTGATGGGCTGCTATGGCCTCTTTCGTGTGAAAGGCCATCAAGATGCAGGCGCAGCAGCTGTACGGTGTACGGCACGGCTGATGTTTCGCAGAAGGATCACAGGGATGTTTGGAAAAGGTAAGTAAAACTTATTAAGACACATCCTTTACACACTTGGAACTTCTGACCTTCTTGAAACCGGTTGAAGGCGGTTGAAGGTAAAAGTTGATATGAAAGGTGTCCTAAAGCGAGTGCAAATATCACCTGTTGCGATCGCTGCAGATGAGCACTATGTCCACTGCAAGGCGGGGAGCAAATTCTGTTGGCCCACAGTGAATGCAGTGCTGATGACACCGCACTGTGGAGTGACCAGCCACCAATGATGTGGCAATATGGCAATATGGCATAAACATATAAACAGCTGTAGAACTAATGTGAACAAACGCAGAGATAGTGAACATGGCCGATGTTGATATTGAGATTGAAAAGTGCGCCCAGGCCAAGAGCGATGGCGGTGCCAAAACATGTGCGTCTTCTGCGTGCGACATACCGGACAGCTGGGGCAGCTGGGGCAGCTGGGTGCTGTTGGATTGAAAGTTGACCTATCAGACCTACAAAAGTTCACAAAATGTAGGGTCTTTTGATGTGTGCGACGGATAAATGAGTAAGTATCACAATTTGTTCATTGTTCATTATTAAATATACTATGAGTTTAAAAGAAAAATGATTCTCTATTTGGCCCCCCTAAAACTGCCAAGTCAATCAGTGCCGTCAGCGTTGACACAGGCCTCAACATCCACATGGTCATCGCATTTCTCCAGATTACCAGCATCCTCCATCAACAGCTTCATCCTCATCTTACTCATCTTCACCTTGCATTTGGCCCAAGAATCACTTGATTGGATGTAGTTTTGAGTGGCCTGCTAAGCAAAGAGCCCTTTGCAGGCTCAGTTTGAAATTCTTTGAGATGCCTCAGAGGGTGGTCTTGGAAATTCGCTACCCAGGCAAACAAACAGAGACAAACGAGAGATTGAGTGTCATGTTTGAGAGCTGGCCTGAATTCAATGAGGAAACTGAATGGCCCAAGATTGAACAACACCTCCAGAAATTGAGACTTAGGGAAAAGTTGGACAACTGTACTGTCCATTACTACAAAAGCTCTTCTGACCACCTGGAGCTCAAGGACTCCAGCAGTCTGGCAGCTTTGGCGCAGAGGCTTCAGCTTCAAAAGCTACTGCCCCTGCGTTTCATCCCACTGATGCATGTGCGAGATGGCAATGGTGGTGAGACTGCTTACGATCGTTTCGAATGTCTGGGCCGAGGAGGATTCGGAGTTGTTTTTGAGGTTCGAGACCGAGTTTCCAACAAGCGCCATGGACTGAAGATGTCCTTGCCTGATGAGAATTCTCTGCAAAGTATGAAGAACGAAATCGACACTCTTTTGAAGCTGGACCACCCCAACATCATACGACCTCTCAGCACAGGTGATGTTTGGGACCCTGTCTATGGCTGCCTCCCTGTTTTCCTCATGGAGTTGGGACTGTATTCTGTTGCGGAGTTGCACAGTGAGCCGTACAAAAAAGCCGCTGCCAAAGCTGTGGTAAAGCAGGTGACAGCTGCATTGCTGTATCTGTACGAAAAAGGTTTCGGACATATGGACCTGACTGCTTCCAACATCCTTGTGACCAGCGAAAGTGCGTGCAGCGGTGAGCTGCAGTTGGAGGTTAAGCTGATTGATGCAGGTGGTGCTGGAAAACTTGGAACCGATTTGGTAACGCAAAGAACCAAAGGGTTCTCAAATCCGATCTTGTTTTCTGGCAACAGGCAGCCTCCTGTAAGCTTCTGTCAAGACGTGTTCAGCCTCATCAAAACTGTGCGTGAGCTTGCAGGCTCGCACTTCATAATTGTCCTGGACTTGTTGGATGAATTGAGTCGCATAGCTGAACGATTTGGAGACAACAGAGATGCAGTCATTGAGGGTGTACGGTTCCAGCCGGAAGGAGCACAGTATCGAACAGTTTTCAGCTTGTGCAGCAAGGCCTTCAAAGTGGATATGGGTGATATTACCTTTCGCTTGAGCAGTCACTTTTTGAGAAAACAATTGACAGAGTTGACCGTTAGCCAGCAAATTTCCAAAGGTCAGGACATGTTGCTGCGATTCGCACTGTTGGAAAATATGATGATTTCCCAAGTATCTTCCAGCAATTCCGAAGCTCTGCGTGAGCAGTGGGACGACGCGATGTTTGTGCTTGGAGCCATGCGAGTACATAGGTGTGCTCTCATGTTTGCATCCAAGCAGCTGCAGAAGGAAGCGGTTCAGCGAAACGGCTCCGACCTTCAGTTTGTCTCAGAGGACTTGCAGGCTGATGGGCAAGTCGTGCTGGAGGCAGTGCAACAGGACGGCTCTGCGCTGCAATTTGCCTCAAAGGACTTGCAGAGAGATCTGGCTATTGTGCTGGCAGCAGTTCAACAAAATGGTTCTGCACTTCAGTTTGCTTCAGAGGACCTCCAGGGTGACAGGCAAGTTGTGGTGGAGGCAGTTCGACAGCAACGCCCTGCGCTGCGATTTGCTTCAAAGGATCTGCAGAGGGATGAGACCATTGTCCAGGAAGCAGTTCGAACCCTTCAAGTTGGGCCACATAGCGAGGTGCTGAAAGCTGCGGCGATAGCAAGAGCTCTGCAGGATGACAGTCAAATTGAAGCTGTTACTTGGTACACCATGCCTTTGTCTGGATGGGCTCGCCGTTTTGGTTACCAGCACTCAGTGGTGCTGGTGAAGGTGAATGGTTTCTCCTATGCGATCGAGAGAGCATGTCCTGGTCGCGTTGACTTGGTGAGGCAGAAAACATTGATTCAGGATGCCACTAAGAAGGGGCTTTTTGTATCCGATTGGGAAGATTTCCTTCAAGTCCCCCACTTGGCCCTATTTGAAAAAGTGGCACCACTGCAGGATGTTGACATCAAACAAGGCATATCCCCCAAGAGTTTGGTGATGCACCTGCTGAGCTTTGGCGAATACAACACGGGAAGCAACAACAGCCACCACACAGCCATGGAAGTGTTCAACTTTTGCACGGAGAGACGGACCCTCACCTCCTTGCCTATCAACTGGTGGCAAAGCCAAGTCGCAAAGGTTTTCCAATTCCTTAGGTCAGATTCCGCAAGTGAACCGTTGTACAACGATGTCATTAAAGTCATCAGACCTTCATATATCACTGGAAGCATCTCCCCAGAGTGGTCATCTGATGGCAAGACTCCGCCGTACTTTCAAGAAGTTGACAGGGGATCAGCGCAGTACCAGAAGGTCAAGGAGTTTGTCATGAAGTTTGGTGGCGATGAGATTCCAGGCCTTGAGATTCAGAAGATCCTGCGATACGAAAATTTCCGGTCCTATAGCGATTATGTTCACAAACTGAAAGATAAAACTGCTCACCAGAAGTACAGTTGGCTGTTCCCTTTTGAGAAGATGGTGGTTGAAGAACGAGGGTTTCATAAAAGTTTGACATTCGCTGCCTATGGGCAGGGCTTCTACTTTACTCTTGACTTCCGACTTGCAGATTTCTATGGAGATTCAGAAGTGGTGGGGCATCATGAGCCACATCGGACACGCCGCGTGCCTCTGTGCTGTGTGGCTGCAGGAAAGCCTTTCGATGCAGAGAGGCTTTTTCCTTATGTTTCAGGTGACCCTTTGAGCGGCCGAACAGAGGCTGAATGGATTGAGAAGATGCAGGAATTCAATCGAAACAAACCAGAAGGGCACGACAACAGCTGGATTGGGGATGAATGGGCGCTCATTGTCGGAGACACTTCGTGGTATCCTGATTACCTGGTTGAGTACACCAGCGATGGGCTTGCCTTGAACCCATATGAGGATCCTTTGATGACACAGATCAGGAAGATACCTCGCCCGACATTCTAATGCCTGAAGTCATTGATGGGGCTTCAGGTGACCTCGTAGAAACTACTCTGATTCAATATGTATTTCTTCCCCGCCCTTGCAAAGTGAGGGTGTCCACAGCCTGCAAATGCATTTGCGTCGCTCGAGAAACATCTTTAGAACAATCAGACAACCCCTTGTTACATCTTGTTACTGTATCTTCTTCTGACAATTTGATGTATTTGTGGGTCCGATCAATCCCGAGAGTTTCAAACGTTGTTTGGATTTTTGTTTGGATTTCAGCACAGGAGCCACACAGAGAGCCGTGCGACTCGGGCTTCGGCCTTCAGCCGAGCGAGTGCTTGAAGCGAAGTTGGGATGCCCAGCATCAACAGAGGTTTGACACCTGAAACGACGAAGCACTCATGGTATGACTCATTCTTAAAAAAAAAACCAAGAGCATCCAAGAGCTAGGATGTATTTTCCAACGGTTTTAGTTTAATGATGTTTAATGCTTGATACCACCAAAAATTCAATGTTGTGAGGTTGTTGCTTTGACGCTCGAAGAGGTCAGTGCTTTCGATCGAAATCACGGCGCTTGCAGCAGCTCAGACTCCAAGGGTTCTGTGGGAATTTCAAACTTGCGATCGAATCCCCAGATCATCATAGATATTCATAGATTAATATATATATATATGTATATATATATATTATATCATTCATAGATATTCATAGATATTCATAGATCATCATATATTTGATAGACTAAAGTGACTATATCATAGATCATCAACATCTTGGGCGTAGTCTTGCCCACAATTTGCTTCCGATTTTGACCTGTGATGCCTCTTTGATGGTGGACTTGGCTGAGATCTGCTGCCAACACGGACCAGAACACGGATTCCTTCTCTACTGGTGCTCTGATGGATATGTTGCTCCCCAAGGCGCAATCCTGTCCCTGTGTCCACAAACAATGGCTTTGCAAACTTTCGAATTTCCACAGTGGTTCCAGTGATTCCAGTGCCAGTGTCGATTCAAATGCTGTTTCCTGTGGTTCTTCCTGTGGTTCTTCCACAGTTTCCCCAGTATTTCCCCAGTGTTTCAGTCCTTCCAGGGTGGTGTCAGACGCCTGGATGCGACCTTCGCCGTCGCCCCGAAGGGCCACGGCGCCGAAGAGTTCCACACCTGGCTGAGGGCTACACGGCATCCCTGGGCAGATCGACCCTCGTCACAAAACATAGAAATTGATAGAAATTGAACATACCAACATCATCAACATCCAGGAAATCTATGGAAATCTCATGAACCTCTGTATCATTCTGTATCATTCTGTATCAACTCAGATTCCATCTCGATGGATGAACTTTACATGAATATGGATTGTAGATGAATTATACGGCGGAAGATCTACCATACAGGTTTTGAAGATGAAAGAGGACCAGACAAACATCAATATACATCAATATACACCAATAATGTTCAGACTTTAGGGATCCTCAGTGGGTTAGTTATACGGATCCGGGCGCCCCAGGAGTCCGTTTGTTCGATACCGCGGAGGACGTGGAGCAACACCTCAGAAGCGACACCTACCCGCGGCGCAATCAGACATCGTCGGAGATGCTCTGTGGCGCCGTGATCTTCGACACGGAGCCCTGGAGTCAACAGGCGACGTCCGGCTGTGTGGCTGTGGCACCTTGGGATGTTTGGGGAATCCCTGGCTGGTGAATCTGGGAACGTGGAAATCCCTGGGGAACGTCTTGGAAGGTGAAGTACACACTTCGCTTCAACCAGAGTTTAGGCCAGGGTGATGGGCATGGCGATCAGTGGATTGCGCTGAAGATCAGCTGATTCATCCCCAACCCAGCTGATCTCAACTGATCTCAGCTGTCCAGGCTATGACCCCAATCTGCCCAGCGTCGCTGCGGTCTTCCGTTCGACCAAGTTGACGACCCAGGGCTTGGTGGAGCCACAGAAGGACGTGTGAATGGGACAACTTGACGGCCCCAAATCCGAGCAGGCTCTAAGTTTGATATGTTTGATATGCTTCCACAGTGGAATCATTTTGCAGTTCTTGGCAGAGTTTGCATGGTGAGGCATGATCTATTTTGGTTGCTGGAATGACTGGAATGCGTCTGCAGAATTTCAAGCTGTTCAGTGTGTTGCCAGGACGGACAGCCAAAGACCTTTAACAAAGGAGGTCTGACCTGGTGCGCCCGGGTTTGGGATCTCGGATGGTCCATGGATGCCAGATGACGACACATGGGGCAGCTGTGACATGCTGTGACCAGGTATTCTCAAAGTGGGTTTTTAGCTTTGCAACGAAGCGTGGACAACTTCATTGAGCGAATCTCTTATCGTGGTCAGGCATGGAGGGAAATTGCTGCAGGTTGACACCATTGACACCTGCATTTTGGAAATTTTGGATTGGACAGGTTTCAGAAAAACCTGCTGTGCTCACGGAGGCTGTGAGTGGTCCAGTGAGCTCGCAATATCTTGGAGAAGCTGCTGGGCTGAGATCGCTCCCTTGGAATCTCCTGGATTTTTACAAAACAAAATGTGGGAAGGTACATGAAAAGACTAAGGCATCTAGGCTGCAGCAACTTTGATTTGGAACATCAAACTTATAGACTATAGATTTATACAGTAGCCTTTCATATTACGGTTCGCAGAATTTGCAGAAGAGATGTCCAAGGATGGACGACCACATGTGGTGGTGCCCTTCCCTACCCCCGCATGGTCCTTGGATGTCTTCGCCATGCTTATGCCGCAGCTTCTGTAACTTGGCCTAACATGGAGCAGATTTTCTGAAGGATTTCACGATTTTCCCCCGGTGAAATTTCTTCCCAAGGAAACTGGTTGCTTCTGAAAGCCTTTTTCCAAGTTGCTCTTGCATGTGCTGTTTTGGCAATGACGGCAGTGTAAGTTGGTGATGATGGTGATGTGTGATGAGGAATGAACCATAATGAACCAAAGACCCAAACATTGAAAGCTTGATCCAAAACGTGTTTTGGAATTTGGACCCTGGTAGGTCAGCGTTCCTTCTCATCTCCTTGGCATATTCAGCACCTGCGCCGCACTTCTATGGCAGATTTGGGATTTTGAGGATGTTAAAAATTGCCAGAAATATGATGAATTGCGATGAAATACGTGTCAATGATGTCAATGTGAGGTGAGAGAAGTAGACTCGCCTGCATCACAGGTAAATCGAATGATCACCGGAGTCGTCATGGAGCGGGAGGCACGTCTTCGTGAAGGCATGCGGATGATGGGCATGCGAAGCAGCGCCTTCTACGCCTCGTGGGTTGTAACTTACGCAGCTTGGCATCGGCAGGTGGTGGAGTTCTTGATGGACTTCGTTCATTCGTAGTTCGGTTTGAAAAGGAACAAAAGCAGCTCCCCCAAATGATGATCTAACATGATCTAACATGATCTAAGGTGGATTTCCACGGAAATTTGAAGATCTGAGGTCTTGCTGTATCTCTTTGTGGTCACCGGGGTGGTCTTCCTTTTGTCTGTTGGGTCGATCTTGCCTCGGAGCAGCCCCTCCCTGCTGTTTGTGTGGCTGATGCTCCTTGCACGCACAGCCATGATGGATGATGGCCTGATGTGGCAAGGCGTCGGGCCTGGGAATGCTGAGACCTTTGCAGATTGTCCTCAGATTATTCAGATTTTTTCAGATTCCAGTATGGTTCCAAGACGTTTTCCAATATGCAACGCTCATGATGACTGCCTAAGGATCTTCTCACTGGCAGCCATTGCCTATGGATTGGTCATCACGACCTTCTTCACCAGGGCAAAAACTGCAGCCACGGTGGGCTCTATCCTCTTCTATACCACCAGTTTCTTGACGAAGAGACCCCGGCCATTCTTTCCTTTTCCGTCTTCGGGCAGGTTATAGGAACTGTATTCAGCCTGTTTGCTTGGGTATGACATGTTCGTTTCAGCTGGTAGTTTTCTTAGTTCTAGTTGTACAGTTAATTGCATCATAATATAATATATATATATACATATTATATACATATTTATATATGACATCTCACACTGAAAACATCTAACAGATTCCAACAGAAGCACCATCCGATCCATTGCTAAGTGTTGCAGGTTACTTCAAACACCTGGCGAATCCGACTTCCTCCAGCTCCACTCTACGGCTGCTATCCTTGTTGCCCCCGGTGGCCTTCGAATTGGGTGCTGATTTGGTGGCTGCCTTGGAGAGTCAACAGGCCAGGCCATGGCACGCCATGGCACCGATGCCAAAACATGTGGAATGATGAATGATGAGCAACCGAGCAGGATGTTTATGGATGTTTTATTGGATGTTTTAGATTGTTTTAGGGGTATATATATATATTCTCTGGTATGGTATCCTAGATTTTTTGGCAGAAAGCAGTGTGATTTCTGTGGCAAATTTTAAGGAGTCATCCGTGTTTGACCCGGCCTGGCATGGCGCAGGTTGGAGTTACCTGGGCGAATGCCTCTTGGTTCATGGCAGTGGATCACCTATGAATCACCTTCGATGCGAAATTACCAGTTGGATGGTAGATGGTAGAAAAATCCGCTTATAACATCTTGTTAAGATCTTATTAATATCTCTTGAATATCTTATGATCCCATTGTTTACAGGCTTGAATTATGTTACCAGTTACTTTGCCATCACAGTTTTTTGAGGCGAACATTCACTATCACAACTATAGCCTGCTGGAGAGTGCAGTGATGCTCCTCTTGGACACGCTGTGCCTCTCGGTGCTCTTTCTGTACCTCGACCAGGTCATGCCAAGAGAGGCCCAGCTGAGCCAACGGATCCAACGGCCACATGACTCACATGACATTTCAACGGATTTCAACCTGCCGTAGGTTGGGATTCAACGACCATGGTACTTTCCGGTCTCGCCTTCGTTTTGGGCAGACGCTCGGCCACGGTCCAGGTGTCAAGGGATGTTGGCTTCGTTTGGAAGATTGTAGATCTTTGTAGATCTTTGTATGTGAGTCTGTGAGCCTCTGTATGAAAGTGATTGCATAGTTTTGAAGAGAAACATGCTATCTCCATTTGCTCATATTTTGTCGTCTCATCTGATGCCCCAAGGATATTCTGGGCAAAGCACCAACGGAAGCACCACATGTCGACGTTGAAGCACCAACGGCAAGTTCTGAGGTGGGGTGCGAAACTGTTTGAAGTGGCATAGCACAACAAGATACAACAAGTATAAACTGTATCCATATGAGTATACAATCCTGGAACCAGGAGTCTCACCCTTCCAATCATATGAATTGCCAGCAGTTTGTCTTCGCAACCGTAGAAAGCATTAGAAAGCCGTAGAAAGCCGTATCTCCTGAGTTTCAGGCCATTGCACTGGTGGAACAGGATGTTGGTGAGGCAGCAGCCATGATGTCGGGGGTGCCCAGTCTCTATGGGTGGCATTGGCTTCAAAGTACGTCGGACTGATTCGGACTGATTCGGACTGATTCGGACTGATTTTGATGATTTTGATGGATTTTTGTAGGTCTCGGAATGGCCAAACCGTGGAAATTGTGAAGCTGTCGAAGCGCTTCGGCCAGTTGCGTGCAGTTGAGAACCTAGACCTGGTGCTTTTCTTAGTTCAACTTGGGTCTCCATTCTGAGATTCTGTGAGATTCTGTCTGTTTTTCAGTGTGACACAGTCTTAAAAAACATTAAAACACCTTGTTGGGAGAATTGGCCACTTGGATTGAGGTGATGTACCAGGGCGAAATCTTTGCACTACTGGGCCACAACGGTGCAGGCAGGGAGAGTTGCACTAGAGATGACTCGATGACTCGATGGCTCGATGGCTCAGGGAAGACGACGACGCTTGGAATGCTCTGTGGTTTGATTCCTCCCAGCAGCGGTCGCTGCTCCGTCTTCGGCTCGGATCGACCCGAGGAGGTGCGATGAAAAAAAAGAAATCGGAAAGGATCTTGGGATATCTTGAGCATGTTGTGATTGAGAGGAGCTGGAGCTGGTAAAACTGATTCCCCTATAGATCTAGTGGAGTGAGCCTAGTGACTGGTTGCATGTTGTGCTCAGCGTAGCCCATGAAGTTGGTGTTTGAACAGCTGAATTTGACCACTTTTATTTTGCGGTGCGATGTGGTGGCAGGTCCAACGTTACCTGGGCGTTTGTCCGCAGCATGACGTTCTGTGGGAGACGATGACCTGCGAGGAGCATCTCAAACTCTTTGCTGGCTTCAAAGGAGTCCCAAACGAGGTGCTGTTGCTGGGTCAGTTTGGTTTTAGAGGCTGAGAGAAGTGCCATGCTCAATTTTTTCGGACGGAAGAACAGCAGTTTTCAGGGGAATCCTGTTATTCCCAGGCAAGCGCAGGAAGAAACCAAGAAAGCGCAGGAGTTTAGCCGCTGCCATTTGCCGATGTTAGCAGTAGCGTATGCAGGCAGTCTCTCGAGAGGTCTCGTACATGTTGGATCGTGTGGGTCTTGAAAAGGCAGGGTAGGGTAGGGGTGGGCAAGTCGGCCATGGACGAAAAGGAATGCACGGAGAGACTTGGAAAACATATATTCACTATGCAAACTTATGCAAACTTATGCAAACTGTATTTCAAGATCCATTTAGATCATTTATAGTGAAAACTTTTTGACTTATCACATTTGATACCCTGCCTGTGCAAGGCCGGTGCTTGCAAAACGCAAGCAGGACGTTTGAGCGGTGGAATGAAGCGAAAGTTGAGCTTAGGCCGCTCAGCTTGCTGCACATGGTTTCAAGCCTTGTACCATGCAGTTAGTGAATGTAAGGCGCTGGAAGTATATCTCTCCATATATCTCCAGTATGTCACACTTACTGGGGGCTATAACCACTTACTAGATCTCAGTAGATTTTGTTGACTGCAAGGATTCTCCATTGCCTCATGCGCTTCAGATGCGTCGATGGGATGTTGAAAATGCGGTGAGGCATCGCCTTCCTGGGTGGATCGCGATTGGTGGTCTTGGACGAACCAACCAGTGGTCTGGACTGTGCCATGAGATCAGTATGGGGAAGCCTATCCGGGAAAAAAAGTTGCAACATGGCTCTGATTACGCGATGTATTCAAAATTATTCAAGGATTCTGAGAGTAAGTAGGTACGAGTAGGTGCATGATGTTACATGTAATTTGGAGGAGAAGCGTCCTTTCTGTTTCCAGGACCCTTTCTCTCGTCGTTCAGTGTGGGAGCTTCTGCGGTCGATGAAGCAAGGCCGTGTCACAGTCCAGGCACCCAGTAGCATGCGTTTGCATCAGTTTGGGACATTTCAAGATTGGAAAGAATGAATCAACGGACAGACAACGTTGTCATATGTTGTCATCCGATTTGATTTACTCCATCATTTTATTCTCTTCTTGGAAAAGTGTGCTGAGACCTGTTGGAGAAACTTGTCAAGCACCTGAGGTCCTATCCACTCACTACATGGACGAGGTCAGAAGAGATCAGCGGGTCATGGATCATCGCATGGATCATTATCGGTCAAACTGTGAATACGTTTGATTACCAGTGTGTCGCAATGTGTCAAATGTTTATTCCATTCTGTTTGGGCAGTTTTTTTTGCAGAAACACACTGGCCATGGGGGGCCATTGGGGATTCAAAGACGAGCTGCGTATCCGCCGTATTCGCTTTCGCAGGCTGACATCCTTGGAGACAGGAGGGATGGGCCAAAAGGCAAACTACTCACAAAAAGCCAATGGGAAACATAGGAAGCGATGTCAAAGTCTGGACATTTCTCAGCTCTTGGAGGATCGCCATTCTGCACGAGGGCCGGCTGAAGTGCTGCGGTGAGGGACCCCAGAGGGTGTGTCCACGGCTGCGCCTGGATTGCACGTGGATTGCACATGGAAGTTCCCATATACATCCATATCCCGCCTTTGATATATTTTGAAATATTGAAAAATGTTGTTATCCGTTTAAGAACTGTTCATTGCATTGCATACGGGCTAGGATCGCCACAGTTCTTGAAGCGTGCGTATGACTGCGGCGTGGGACCCCAGGGATTTCACTAAGGTCAACAGCTGAGCCAATTTCACCATTTCACCGTTTCACCACAAGAACTCCATGAGCGCCTTCAAAATGTGAGCGTTTGGCCTCAACGCTCAAGGCTACAATGTGACCTTTGTGAAACGCCCTGGCTGTGACATTGACATCGTGCGTGAGGCAAAGTGCTAAGCTAAGGGAGAAAGGATGGGATACTTTGCAGATCTGCAGAGAAGCCCCTAGGTTTTTGCACTTCTTTTTGTTGGCACAGAGACTAAGTATATCATAGTCTAATCATAGTATATCAAATCTAAGTGTGAAAAGAATGTCATGCTGCATGTCACATGCATGTCACATGCATGTCCGTTTTGGAGACGCCGAGAGCTTCAGGCCGTGTGCCGCCATGTGCCAGAGCTCACCTCAGAGGTCTCTGTGTTGTCCAACAGCGGAAAGGACGGGACGACCACGGCCACGGAGAGCTGGGCGCCGTGATGCCGCCGTGATGCCTATGATGCTTTCATATGTCATGATGTTTCAGGATGTTTCAGCTTGTAGTGCAGCCATGTGCAGCGACTGAAGGAGCTGATCCTGCAGTTTCCCTTTTCTGCTGCTCGACATTTTCCCAAGGCGGGAAACTGATTAAACTTATGCGACAGCACAGAGAAGATCGATGAAGATCGGGCATATGATAAGATCGACATCAGACACAAACTTTCGGATCCCATGGCCATAGGGCCTATGCAATATTTATATCATGAATTTCATGTCATGAATGATTTCGAATGACTTCGAATGATTTTGAGCTTAAGGAAGTTTTGGTTTTTCGAGGTGCTGGGGAGTTTGGAACAGCAGCTGGAAGAACTTCGGTTGGAGTTCGCGCCCTGTCACTGCTAGATTTGGATTGGCTCATCAATGGCTGCCCCTAAAAAAAAATATGCCAGAGTGGTGGAGCCAACAGAAAAAATCGTAGTGCATAGGGAAGGAATGTTTAGAGATGGTAGCGAACGGTTCATTTGCTGTTCTCTTGCATGTCCTTCTTCCTCCTTCAAAACCATTGCATTTTTTGCAGTGTATTTCGAATTCCGTACCCAAACCATCAACTGTGAAATATAGAGTTTTGACATGCAATCAGCAACAAAGTGCTCAACAAATTGCACAAACAAGCACCATGGGCCATAGCACAGTACATCCCCCACAAACCTTTGATGCTATGTGGATCGTTTCCTCATGTTTCCTCTATTGCCTACGGTTTGCTATCGTGTTGGTTGGTTGGTTGGTTGGTTGGTTGGTTGGTTGGTTGGTTGGTTGGTTGGTTGTTTTTTTCTTTTTTGATGCTCCTTGTTTTCACATGACATGTTGTTGACACACCTGCCATCTTATCTTACAAAAAATACGGTTTCATTCCTTTTTGTGCACTAATATGGCGTCTGTCAACACAGAGTTTTCGTCGACGAACGTATTGCACAACTGCGTTGTGCAATAGTTTCGTTGCAAGGCCCTGTAACAAGGTGTCCTGGCGGAAAGATTTACAAAAGTGTTTTGCATGAATGATCCCATTTTCTACAAGGCTTGTTCGGGCCTGTTCTACACCAGCTTTGTCGAAAAGTGGTCCACAGAAATTGGTCACAAAAACGCACAAACAGAAATGCACTAAAAGGTGGCGGGCTGGTAGATACCTGCAAAGGTTTTGGTGTTTAGTTATCATATGCTATCATTTTTTGTTTGGGGGTCGGCGAGAGGGGGGGGCAATGATCAACATCCATTGTCGGACTAAAATGGTCTTGCACTCGGGTTTGTTGGTCCAGTGTGATTTGAAGCGCCAGCAGATGCCAGCAAAATTTGTTCAAATCTCAATTTGATGTGCCGCACACCAAGGTCGTATGGGATCTCTGTCACAACATTGGAAGAGGTTCTCTCCTGAAAGGTCTATTCAAGTGACATGTGAAAGTGACTTCACTGTCGACGCCAGATTCATAAAGCCCGGTTGGTTAATGAGATTTAATGAGGATTTCATGAGGATTTCATGAGGGTGGCATCGATTTTTGCCCTTGTGATCATCGGCTAAAATGGTACCCTCCAACCACGTCAAGGTCTTCCTGAAAGTGGCATCAGGCGACGTGCCCAGGCGCTGTGCTATCGCATGAGTCACGTGTTGAGTCACGTGTTGAGTCACGTGTTGCATGTCTTAAGGTGACAGATCTCATGACTCAATTTCCCCTTGACTGTTTTTGCGGATCAGAGTGTATGAGATCGGAAAAACTCAAGATGAAGCCATGAAGCTCACAAAAATCTCACACATATTATCACATATGTTCATTATGTTCATATATAATTTATATAATGTTTGGTTATGACTCATATATGACTAACATATTGACATATGATGTTCATATTTATGACTCATGACATTCATGACATCACAAAGTCCAGGCCGCAGCGCCGCTCCAGGTCCAGGCAAGCTCCATCACCGCAATCACCGCAATCACCGCAATCACCTGCGGAGCAGCCCTGAACTGAGAACCGATGGGGAAAGGCATCGAAACATGAAACAGAAACATATTGAAACTGCCGGAAGCCATGTCTTTTTGCGATGTCTTTCTGATCTTTGTCATTTGTTTCATTTCGTTTCTGTTTGGGATGAAATCTGAATCAGGTAAGTGCGGTACGGCTCAAACCTTTGCACCGGCCTCATCCGGCAAGGTACATTGAGTTGCAAGAGATGGCTGTCAACCCTGTGGTCGAAGAAGTTCAGGACCGATTGAGTCATGTTCCAATGTGTTCCAATGTGTTCCAATAGGTTCAACCCTTGTCGTATCCTCACCGTGTTTCAATTGACTTATCAATGACAACATGTTGGACACATGTAGGTTTATGATGTTGATGTAATATGATGTAATGACATGTACCAACTTTAAACTGACAACTGACATTGTTCTGCCATGATCCCTGTCCACCATGATTTCTCAATGTTTTCTCAATGTCATAGCGTGTTTCATGGGGTGCCAGTGCCAACATGCCAACATTCCAGGCAGTCCAGGCGACGGAGAGTTCCCAAGCGCGTGAAGTCTTCGCAGCTCCCAAGTACCGGCGCGGGGGCAGCTGCTTGGGGCAGACGAAGGTGCGGTGAAGCGATGTTCTGAACTGCTTGGTATTGCTTGGTGAACACGAAAAATGGCTGTGTTTTAATGTGTTTTCATATGTTTTCATGTGTTTTCTACATTCGCCAGATTCACGGATATCCGCCTCATTTATTCCAAGAAGTCTTGATTCAAGCAGCGCAGTCAGTGTTTCACATCAGCAGCATTCCTGCAAGAGAGCGGGAGCACATGTTGTTCCTTTAAAAGGTGTAATTTTCCCGTGCAAAATGTGTGTTTCGTTTGAACACCTTGTATTCCTTCAGACATTGAGTTTGGTACTCATCTACATCATGTGTGCTGTCTTCCAAAAGATCCTGTATACTTATAAATTATACCATATCACCATATAATCATATCATCATAGCATCATAGCATCACATCATCATATCAAGCAGATGCAAAAACATGGCCAGCCAGCGTCCCATCTGTCTTCTTGCACGCAAAGCTCGTTTTTTTTGGGCAACTATGAAGTCCAGCTTCAGTTGGTATAACAAGTTCAGTATTCATAAAGAGCGTCATGCTGTAGGTTTCCTGTTGGTGCTTTTCTTGTGGGGTGTGATTCAATACAGTATAAGCAAAACATTTTCCGACTTGTTTTTCCAATGTGTTCTCAAAGGTATACTATGGTATACTAGTCATTACTAGTCTGGACTTACTCTTTTGGGCCGGTTTCTGGGAGTCACTTAGAGCTTTCTTTGACAGCGGTGTTCAGTATCGAGACCTCAACTTGATAGCCTGTACGTTTTCAGCACCAAGGATAGTGCTCCATGTACCAGGATTCAAGATTCAAAGCGGGAGAAAAACATAGAAAGACATTTAAAACTCATTTGAACAGAAACAACCCAACTGCCTGGCAAGGTTCAACAAACATAAACCAACTATGGTTTCAACAGTTTCAACGGTTTCACTCCCAGGAGTGGCTCCAGGCCGATGGAAATCCAGTCTTTTCAACTCGACGGGGAAGCGAATTGGTTTTATATGGTTTTACTCATGCACCAGTATTCACTGGTATTCATATGCATATAGCTCTCTGTGTAAAGAGGGAGACAGATAGGTATTATATATATATGCACATATATATATAATATAGTATTATATACTATATTTACACACATTATAAACATACTATATGTACATATGTATATACACGTTTACACACACAAATATTGCCCCGTGAAATCATTTTGTATCAATTGTTCTATTTCTCGTTCGAGGCGCTGGTGAAGAAGCGCATCAAGTACGGCGTCCGGGATCATCGTGGGGTCCTGTGCCAGCCGCCTTCTCAGCCATGGCGTCGCCATCTCAAAATGGTGGTACTCGGTGTACCACCAGCAAAAACCAGCAAAAACCAGCAAAAACCCATGTGTCGCACGAATACCCAACAGCAACAACACTACAATCGGAATGTCGGTTGTTGATAAACCATTGGGTTTTTTGGGCACCCTATTTTTGAGATCTACTGCTACCTTGGAGTACTGAGGTTGCTGATGCCAACGGCCACGCTGGTCTTGTTTTTGGTGCTACTGTCACGAACTCGGCCCTGGTTGAGACCCACAAATTGAAACAAGTAATGTTTGAGAAAAGTGAAACTATCGGGAGAATTCGCACGGAAAGAGTTATTGACCTATGACAAGACAATGATTGCCAAGGACAGCGGACAATCAGCAATGACTAATCAGCCATAGTGACATTGTGTTCCAGAAACTGTGAGATCTGTGAGAATACTGAGGTCCCGGAAACTCTTTAGCAGCCAACCGATTCTGGAGCTCGCAGTACAGGACTACAACAAACATTGTCATGGCAGCGCAGAACTCAGACCATGCAAGGCACATGTCACGTTCAGCAATTTCATTGAGCACACCACGTAGAATCTGAGGTGTTTGTTGATTTTGTTGGGAAACCTGACTGGGAAAGCATTCGGCAGGTTCCTTCAGACGCCGGGACTTCTCCAACCGGGTGGAGTTCAGTCACCTGCCCGTGGTGAACCCTGAAAAAGCCATGGAAGTACTGAAGCCCGGCGAGGACTCGCTAAACGAGGCATGTCGAAGCATCGAAGCACGCAACAAAGTCGGTTTGATGCTGAGAAGTTCCAGTACCTGTTCAACTGCAGTGCCTCAAATTCAGTCTGAATTCTTCTGCCTTCCGAAGACATCACTCCACAGCACTCCACAGCACTTGACATCGCAGGAGCTTTGGCACGGAGAATTGCGACATCACTCGCCGCCACTCGTCTCCGACGAAGAGATGCGCATTAAGGAGGCCTGTCACGGCAATATTTCGCCCTCGCCGCTGTCAGCTGTCCTGGTCGAATCGATCAGATTCAAGTGGCATCCTGTGTCCGCAGGCATTTCTGCTGAGTCATAGTCAGACAGTAGGAACTAGTAGGAACACTTTCCTAGGCATGGACTTCAAATTGGGTGAGCACAACCGAGAACAACAAGGCCACAGAATTGCCCTGAAATGGCCCTCAGTGTGTGGCATGCCAAGATGAGAACTCCAAAAGTTGAGCTTCTCGGAGGCTCAACGAAACAACTTGGCGATAGCATCGCAATTTGTCCTGCCGCTACATATATATATATTATATATATATATACAAATATATCATTTGGGCATCCAAATAGCTCAGATAGCTCAGCATTCGCACGGGGCATTCTCTGACAGATTCGGCATTGGCCAATCGCACTGGTGGATGGAGTTGAGCCATGGATCCATGGCGTGTAACTCCGCCCAGGGACAGAAGGGACAGAAGGGACAGACGGAATGTGATAAAGTTTTGCTGGGGACAGCTTCAGTTGTCTTTAGAGGAGCAATCTTTGGCTTTAGCGACTTTAGCTCAAAATTGCGAGCCGATGGTCATGAGTTTTGGGCGTCCACAGGAGCTGCGGGCTGAACTGCCACTGTCGCGGCACTACAAGGAGACTTTGGGGCGACGGGGATTTTGTGTGGACAGACCCTGTGTCAGTTTGTGCCTTGAGGAGCAGGTTGCGGCAGCTTTTGTGGCTCTATTCCGAGGTTGGTGGCTGGTGTGGTTTCAGCATGTTTCAGCTTGGTGATTGCGAAATAAACAAAATAAACAAGAGCAAAAGATGACGAAAAAAAACTTGTCTTTTGGTGGCACAACAGCTGCAAGGCCAGGAACAGAAGAAAGGAAGACAGGAAGAAAGGACGGAGGGAAGATAGAGAAGAATTAAGGAAGAAGGACAGGAAGAAAGAAAGGAAGAAGGAAAAGGAAAAGGACACATTTGACCGCTACTGCTACTGCCATTGCGATTGTAACTCTTCTATTACATATTATATAATATCCCTTTTCCTACTACTTTCACCTCCTTTCCTACAGTTTTATCCTCTTCCTTTTGCACATTTTTGCACTTTTTTCTCTGAACAAGAACAGAAATGAGTCCGCTGGACCTGCAAACATGTTACCTTGCAACCCAACTGGAGATGGGCCAAAGGTTTATGAGGTGCAATGTGGTGCCCCGTTTGCTGTGGATTTCTGGTTTCGTGTGGAGGTTGACCCTCTGGGCTTTCTTTTTCTGTGGGAAACCCTGGTGAGTTCTCGTCGGTTGTTGATCATTTGCTTTTGAGTGCGGTCATACTTATCTACGCTTACCTACCAGGACTGCGCAGACATGACAAAAACAGCATCCACCTCAATCCAGTTGAAAGAATTTGAAAGACCTGGAACATGTTATGGATGAACAATTCATGATTCATGCATATTCATGCGATTTCATGCGCTATGAGCACCTTGACTTTTTTGTTATCCATTGTTGCTCCCATTGTTATCCTGAAAGGTGAAGAACTTTTTCTGGTGCGCGGCAAGCAAAGCGGTCTGTGGCAATTGCCCGGTGGAATGATTGAGGCGAAAACCGGGGGATTCAACTGGCCACAGCTCTGACGCCAGTCAAACACGGACTTCACGTAGCAACGCCGCACATGAAAATCAGTTCAAAATCAGTTCGTTTTGAAGGGAGCTCCACATTGCTCCAAGCTCTGCCCAATCCCACTGGAGCCCAATGAAATCCCATGAATTCATTTTTGGTTCCATGTTGCATCTTTGGATTTTAGGGCTTCCTTTTTGCGCTTGTGGAGTGGAGAACGTCTTTGATCACTGCCACAGCATGCTGCCAGAATTGTTGGTTTAAGTATATCCCCAGTTTGGTACTAGCATCACAATTTTTGAATCTTTTTGATCGGCAAAGCAAATTAAATCCCGAACTCTTGCTTAAAAAGATTATAAGGACTAGCTTTTTGAAGTGGAAATCACAGCTTCAGCCTGCAAAAAATAAGCCACTTGCCACAGCAACGCACAAGGCCTCTGACTTGAGTGTTTGGGATGCAGCGACGCGAGAGTTTTTTGAGGACTCGCTGTGGATGGTTGTTGCGGCTTCATATGGCTTCATGAAGATTCCTGGTGGTTATTGAATTGGGGCTGAAATATGGGTATGGATCAATACCTATAGATACATTTTTAGTGGGATGAACATCCATTTACCAGCTATTTTGATGTTCACCAGGGGTACAAGGTTTTGACACACTGCCATATGATGAAATTATATGAAATGATGATCTCTGTCTGCTGCAGTTTGGGAGCAGGAACTGCACACAGTTGATTCAGAGGAGACTGGCAGTCAGGCTCCCTTGCCTGCTTCGCGTCAGAGTTCCCAGAAGTTGTAGTTACACGCTTTGGCATGTCTTGATATACATATATATATATATATCATGTAATTAATTATATATATATGCATTATATATTTTGCAACTGGAGGAATAATGAGATTACTGGTCGATCCATTCGTGTATAGGCTTTCTGTTGACTTTTGAACGGAACTCCCACATGACATGAGAATCACCTCCATTTGCCGTTATATTAATACGTAGAAATAAGTGACATGACCATACATCACCGATATTGCAAGTGACTACAGTTCATTTATGTTCATTTGTTGCGATTTCTTTTCGCACGGTTTCCTTCTTAGCGGCGAGCTCATCCATGTGAGATCAACAATGATCAACAGCAATGCTGACTGTTGCGACTGTTGCTGACTCCAAGGATTGCAAGGATGGTTTGAAACCACCATCCAGCTGCCTAAAACGCTTTTTCGAGGCACTGCTCAACTTCGTTCAGATTCGTTCAGTGAATTTCTGGCTCCACATCCACCTTGGGGGCCTTGGGAAACTCGACAGGAGTGATTTTTGTCCTGCAGACAGAAGATTCAGCGGAGGAGCGGACTGGTGCCGCAAGAGTGTTCCCCTGGATTGTCTTTAGATGTCTTTAGATGCCTTTAGCATTTTTTTAGTATTTTTTGTTCATTGGTTCCTCCGACCCTTTGCCAGAACTTACTTTGTACCGTTCACTATGTTAACTAGTGCTGCAACTTCTGGACTGAAACCCGACCTACCCGACCTTTGCCATGTAAAGATTTTCCAGTCATCAAGATCAATTCTTTCCAGTCGATTCTCCCATGACTTTGCCGTTTGGATCTGGTGCAGGTCCCCTTCGCTGCAAACGGAGAGACCTGTGAAGCGACGTGGAAACCCTGGCGATGCCTCGAGGAGTTGGACTTCCGTTGGCCCAACGATCAGTGCCTCGCCGAGATCACCGTTGATCGAAGTGAATAGAAAGTGTCTTGATGAATGAATTGATGAATGAATTGATGCTGGGTTACTGGGTAAACGGCAAACCTTGGTTCCTTGGTTAGTCTTCTTTTGCTAATATGTAAGAATCTGTAAGAGTATGCACAAGCAGTTAAAAAATTCAAGCTGTTGCACAGTATCCAAGATTGGCCAGGGAATGCCATGAGTATATTTGAGCATAATTATTTCATATCCATGTCATCTCATGGCATTTCATGGCATTTGCAATCATATACAGCAGTCACATTCAGGATGCTTGGCCAAGGGGAGGGGCTCTCAGCTCTGGTTGGCTCTCATGGCTTTTGTGAGGACTATCCCTCAGATCTATGACCTTGCACAGGAGGGGTGCACATCTGGATGCCTTCGCTTTTCTTTTGTGGCAAAATGATCAAAATGTGACAATCAGATCAAATCAGAATAGATTTGAATCATTGGAATCATTGGAATCAAACGCGTTAGAAGTACAAGTAAATTGAGGATTTTGAGGCGGAGTTGATCTGTTAGAAATCGTTGATGGACGGGACCCGGACGGGAGGCTGAAGATGGACGGCGCCCTGTGATCCGTCGTGGCTGCTACAGTGAACTCAGACCGAGTCTGAGATGTGGTGGTCACATGCGTGAGCTGCTTGACAGCACGCTATTTTTTGAGATATCTATATATGTATATATCACATATTATATATTATTATATGATTACATTATTATATATATATATACCTAGGGAATCAAAAACCTTCAATTTTTAGGGTTTCAAAAAAAAACCTGGTTTTTTCAAAAAAAACAGGTTTTAGCATAATCAACCATAACCCAATATTGTGAATTAAGTATGCAGGTGTTTGATTCCCAAGGAATGTACATGCATGATCATACATGTGTGTTCACATACACATGGCCACATTAACAGCGTGCACATGGGCCTGCCCAAACCACAGACACATCAACTCAGCGCCTTTTCTTCATCTCAAAAGGCCTTCTTTGGTGAATGCAGTGTGTGCTGCAATTAAATATCGTTGCAACGAACGATGGATGACTTGCCTGATGTTTACTCTTCGACTTATTCTGCTGGCTTTTCCAATGGCGTCTTCATCTATTTGGCAGCAAAAGACAATCGGATTGAGGGACATCTTGTAGAGTCGGGCCTGCTGCAAAATGGTTAGCATCTGCTCATGGAACCCATGTAGCTTACCATACAAAGGAAAAACCCATGGACGATTGTCTCCGAAAAGATCTCGGGCCATCAGTGAGTACGTCTGTAGGAAACGAACGCCTCTGGTTGCAACATAAAAGCATTGCTCCTCAGTCAAGAAAACTTCGGCTCGAAACAAGCAAGACCACAGCTCGTTCATCCATACAGTTGCACGCTGGCATTTGGGCAACCGTTGGCATGCATCTGGTGGTAATTTGCCAATCAAGTCATCCAACCACAACAAACAATTTGTTGTAAGGGCGCCTTTGCTCCAATTCCCCATGCAACCAGTTCTGTCATTGTGTGACATGAGGTATGGTGTGATGCTACTGATGTGGCATTGTCTGTGAGATTGTTTGCAAAATCTTTTGTAGTCATTGGTAAGCCATTGCCATTTAGACTCCAGATTTGGAGCTGGAACAACTTCTAGCACCAGCTGTATCACTGAAGCCACCCAAGACCGTCCAAATCCAAGGTGCACAATGTGCCAAATGTCTCCCTGAAAAAAAGTTGACGGGTCTGACACATCGTGAGCCAAATGTTTGATCACTGCAGGTGTTTTCATCCATGGTATTTTCACACCTTGAGTTTCCAACCACTTTGGAGAAACGGTGTCGATCTGCTCTGCCGGGTAGCCATAGGTTCCTGCTAAACACCTGTGACAAATTCCCTTGGGTGCAGTACGTTCATCACCCCTTTTCACCAGCGTGTTGAATGATCTATACAGACGGCCCACCTTTGCAAGATATGGTGCATCCCCTTTGACAGCTATGATCGCAATCCTGAAAAGCTCATGTGTTGTTGGATCACGATAGCCATCAAGTAGTAAACTCTTCAAAGAAATGGCAACGTTCTCCATTGCATTGTGAAAAGATTCAGGTGCACTTTCGTAGACAGTCTTTGGCATCATGGAAATGATGAATCGATGTGTGAAGGAATGACCCAAGTAGTTGACCTTCAATGGTCGTGGGCCGCCACCCCCCCTTCCCATTCTCTTACGATCAAACCCATACCCAAGCGCTGATTGCAAAGCCGTCACCATGATTGCTTGTCTTTTGAGGGTTCGTCCTTCGTCCCCATGTATGAGAAAAGCAGCTGTCCGAGATAGGTCTATCCCGTCCATGTCAAACAACTGGAAATGCGGTTGAACCACTCGATACCGTTCCCAAAACTCTGCCCAGAGAGCTCGAGCTGTTGAATGCTCATCACGGCCAACCCCAGCAAGTCGGGTCCAAAGGCCTTTTCTCACAAGCCATGCAAGCCAATCACGTGGATCAATCCAGTCGATTGTGGTGTCATGCTGAAGAGTCATCTGGCTCAACGGCACATCTAGTGTAGTACCTTGTTTCTTTATGACCTGGTGAGTATCACGTTCTGAATTTTCAAGCTTGCATTTAGCCCATTTGTTTATACCAGTTTTCGCAGCCTCCGCCTGACCAATGTCCTGAACCACAGCCTGGGCTGTGAGAATCTGGCTTCTGCAAGTGGCCTCAGACCGGCAGGGCAAGGCATCACCCAATGTTTGTTAAATGTCAATCTCGTGAGTGTCTCGGGCTGGGGTCTTCAAAAAGATATGTTGGTTGTCTTCATTTATCTGAATTGCTCAGAATAGGCCAACTCCCAAAACACAAATGGCACAGCAATGATTTTTGCCAAGCTCAACTGCAGGCGTCAAAGCACTGTACAATGAAGAATTCAGCAAACTACTGCACACACGGAAGGAGCTAAAATCCCCACACCAGCATGTGAACATGCAATATTGAAAACTACCTAGACACCTGATCAATCATCATACCTTTGGAGTTCAGGAGGGTACTTGTATGACTTGTAAACGATATACGTCAAAAACGGCCCCTCGCCGTCAAAATCACTGCCAGCTCGATCGCCGCCAGTCAGCACATTCTTGCATCCTCGGGTACCTTAGAGGAGGCTTGCAACACCAAAAGGCACATAAGATAGTGTAGCGGACTCTCCCCCAGTGCCCACTGCAGGTGACCACACACACTGTCACACACACACACACATGCGCGAGACAAACATGCACATCACAAAGTATTGCATACTTGCACCACATATTTATATAATATGGTCCATATACTTCCATCTAAACAAGACATGCTACCAGGTTGCTCTTAAAGCGGTCGATGAGGGCTGCTTCTAGCATAGCAGGAGAATAAGGATTTGACGCTGCATATACTACATGGAGTCTGTCAAAACGATCCTTGGAGTGCTGGTACCCGTACATTGGACAATACCATCGATGGTGGGCATCATGTGTTATCCCCAGCTTAAACGTCATCGGTGAATACTTCTCCAGGAAACGATTGATGGTTGTAATGGAGTGTTCCAACACCCTTCCAGCGGTACATCCTGGTTTTGGTAACCTGTAGGACATACAGGGGTCCATGGAAATTTTTCCAAAGACATCCCGTGATCGACTCAGAAGTTTCAACTCATCATGAAGTAGAAACTCATCACGTGGTGTGACGTGGTATCCACCAACTGCATGCTTCACCTCCAAAATCATGTGGCCATCTTTCGTGGGGTGCACTGGGTGTCCATGGTCAACCTTCCGGTTCTGATGCACATCGGCTGACGGCCGCTCCCATGCATATGGCCCAAGAGAAGCCTCAGCTATAGGGAAACAATTTTGGAATTCTAAACTTTCGAGTCCCGCATGATGAACACATTGGGAAACTGTTTGAAATCCAAGTAGCTGGTCGGTGACAGGTGAGAAGGTCTAACAATTCATCCTCTGAAGTTTCATCAAGATCAGAACGCATGGCTTTGTACCAACCTGTGCAACCCAAGCAGGAAACCATGCATTTTTGTGTATATGTATATATCGTGTTAATATACTGTAGTTTTAATATAATGTTAATACAGTGCAAAATCAGACTCCAAGTGCTAATATAGTGTTGTTTCCTTCAATTTGTCATCATGTGGGGGCCTAGAACTCAGAGCCGAAAAAACAGGTTTCGATGCACGGGCGATATGGTGGTAGCTGCATGAAGCCTCCATTGACAAAATGCCACAGTAGGCTCATGAGAGTGAAATCCAACATCCTTCAACAAAGAAATCAGGAAGACGTTGTCAAGTGACCCACGACCTTGCCCCTTCGTCCATTGCTGGGGTCATGACTCCTTCGCCCACACTTGCTGCAAAGCGTTTGGATGATGCGCCAGCGACACCTGGCTTCCGGAGACGGGTGGTGTGGTGGAGCGTGGATAAATTGAAGCAATGGTATTGTCAAACATCAGGACTTTTTTTTCCCCCAGAAACCTTCCGCGTAGAGTTTCAAATCTGCTAGTGCAGTAGAGCCACATCAAAGCATCCCCCAACATCAATCAACATATTGGTTGGGTATGTTACCTTTATGTAAGTTTTAAGACAATTTAAGACATGAAGAAATGGAATACTTTCTCCGTGGGTCGGATGAACCGCTTAGTCCATGACACTATTGTTGAACCACAGGGCAGGGATGCTGGTAGGCACAGCCAAGCGCAAAGAATTATCCATTCTAAGGAAATTAACTGTGGAGATTCCAGACAGTCAAAAGTAAAATTCATGAATCGCCAATTGCAGCGGCGACTATGATACAATATTTTGGCACCCAAGCCATGAGATTTACATATGCTCCCTCGGCTTTCATCTTTGATGACAACCTTCTTGAAGTGGCGCTTGGCATTCCTGGGGATACAGCTTGGACATGCTTGGAAATATGTATGGAATTGGTCTTATTTCAAACAAAACAGTAGAGAACCAACTCTCTCAAAATGAGCCACACCGAATGAAAACACCGACAGATGTCAGGACTTGTGATACTGCCTTTTGGGGTGCTCTGCAATCAGTGTATGCAAGCCAGTGACCGAATCTTGGCTTCATGCTGGGCAATTTTGGTGCACCTGAAGACCGTGTGGGAAAGTGGCTTAAAAAGGTTCCACAAAAATATTGCGCAACCAGTAAGTTGGTTTGCTAGTGGGCCACGTGAAAGTCGATGCTTTCATCTTTGCCTCTGCTTCCTTTGCCCACCTCAGAGGGCATGGATGAATAGGAGTTGGGTCAAAACTTTCAATCCCAAAAGGTACTCAAACCATATCAAATCATCGGATATAAACCCAAAGCCATAAGATTGCCAAACCACTCAGGGTTGAAATCATCCTGCTCTCCTTTGGCCATGTGTTCACTCAAAGTGTTGTACTCGTTGTCCAAAGTCGCCAAATCCTGATCCAAGGCTTCAATGGACCTTGGCCGCTGAGGAGGAGCTACTTGGTAGGGACTGGGAACCGGACGGGAGATAATAGAAGCTTACAGAAAGGGTAGAAAAATATAAGTTGACTTTTGATTGGATAAATAAAGCTCCCAAAGAAAAGACAATTGTTGGAGAGAAACTTCTTTGCATGCTCATCTTCACAGTAGTTCTTGCGTAGGTCACCAATCAATCCTCTGATCTTGGCACTTTTCTGCAGCACGGAATCGATATACTTTCGGAAGGTGTCTTTGGACCTGTTGGCCTTCCCAAGAATGGAAGTCACAAGGTGTACTGTAGAATGATTTGGTAACCCAAGTTATTTCAAACCCAGTCCATTTATTTGTGATGCCATGAGATCAGAACCAAATCCAGCCGATAGGGGAAACACATGTAGTGAAAAGATCAAATGCGAGACTTTCTGGGCGGTTTGATGACATTGACCTAGTATCAAGATTTTGTACATCTTTGGTAGCTTATGAAAGCCGCACACACCACCCTAAGTAATTACACATGGCCTGGGACGTGGCCACAACAGTCCCAGCAGTTGTAGCTCTCAGTCGGGTCTCAACTTGGTCAGCATCACTGGCACTCACATCCGGAAGTGATGCCGTGCAATCCATCTCCTGCATGGAAGGACTGAATTGATGGGACATACCTACTTCATTTGGACTTTGCTGCTGGTTATGAACAACTCAAAAGTTTCTTGGTGAAGCATGGAAAGGAACTGGCTCCTGGGCATTTTCCCTGGTGACCTCCGAACTGATCTTTTCATGCTGGCGATTCCCTGTCTCACGCACCCGCACGTAGTACTCATCATCTCCGCCATAGGCACAGCGCCTTCCAGGAAAATAGGAAGACAGGGGTTCCTAGTTTCTGGATAGGGTTGATGATCAGAATTTGCGTGTAATTAGGCATGGTTGATTGCCAAATGGAGCACCCCCTACCTCACCAGGTTTGCCTGATCTTGCTCACAACATTTGATGGCACCATCGATCTTCTTCCTCATGCTACTGGTGTTGGAACAAATCATCAAGTTTTTCCGTGCAACATGGTACACACACACATTCCACGCTAGTCTAAGCATGCCCCAAAAAAGAACACAGCTGTATAGATTATATAGTCAAGGCAATTTGGCAAACGCATTGACATGCTCAATGGTGGTTCAACGTATTTGGATAAGACTCGTGTTCCATTTTAAGACCTTCAGCATATCGTCCCTGGAATACCACCCCATTTCCAAATCGCTGACAGTCTTGTCATTCTTTGTGAGGGACTTCTCCTTGAACTTGATGAACGCCTCCTGGATTCGACTGGCTCTGGATTTGTTCGGATTGCTGATATGGGTTGCTCGGCCAACATGGAGGGTAAACTGGCAAAATATGCAATGAATAAATTGCATTGATTGTTGGTTAGCAATCCTTGTCGAAGTTGCACTGTGCAAGCTGTTTGGCCATGGCCATGTGATCTCCATTCTTCCACTGGTCATGGAGCCACTGTGGAACTTGCAACTGCCCATTTTTTTTGGGCTCGCACAAACGCCTCAACTTTGCCTTCAGGGCGTTTTCCTCCTTAGTGGGCCCCGGTGTTGACATCTATTGAGGCAATATGTCCTGATCCAAGTTGTAAGTGTTAATTTGTTATCGTGTTGACTGTTCTTCCACTTTTTGTTTTGTGAAGGAAACAAAGTTATGAATCAACACAATCAAGTTTCGTTTTTTGCCTTCTTGGCTTGTTCAAGAACATCTTCCAACGACTCCTCTGGTTCGGATGGGGTCACCTGGGAAATTGGCCTTTTCTTGGAATCATTTCCAGTGTCACCAGTAGGGGCTCCAGCTTCCAGATTGGATGTAGCCGAACTAGAACCAGTGGTCAATTGAAGCCCCAAAAGCTGCATGGCCATGTCACCATCAAGCTGGCCACCCCGCCACATAGCCATGATGCGATTCGTGACCTGAATAGGAGAGGTGAACTATTGTGCTTTGATCTGATGTGTTGAGAAGCAGTAAGCCATATACCATATGACAGAAAATGTTCTTGCACCATATACACCTTTACGTGTTGAATTTTAATCAAAGAGCTGCATCATCTTTGGCCATTTGAGATGCAGAAGAAGGGAGTGACGATGTTGGGGATGAAGGCGAAACTCGAGTCTTGCCCTTCACAGAACCATCATCTGACCCACCCAACCCCAGTTTCAGAAGTTCCTCCTCTGAAGCTGGCTGGGTTTCAGCCTCCGCCACACTCTTGTTGACCAGTTCCCGCTGGGGAGTAGCCTCAGGGTAGCTCAGGCCAGCAAATACCCTTCAACATTCTGCCAGACGCCCCAAATAGACAATACATTATGAGCAGTCACAATGCCTAGGAAAATAGGGACATAGGATAATCCAGTGGTTTTTCCGCATCAACACCAAACAGAGCTTGTATATAATAGGCTATAAAGATTCAGCCTGGAAACAACATTGGCCACTGACACCAAATCCTCCAAGGCTTTGTCCTCATTTGCAATCGCTTCTTGGACACACAGTGGGTTGGGTCGGGACCGATGTCCGTGTCCGGGCATGAGAATATATCTAAGTATCTACTTTGTTCCAATATTCACTTTAAGATAGCATATATGTTGAATATCGATTAGTCATTCTATCCTGACAAGTGCCGGTTTGCAATAAATCACAGCTCACAACGGGGTCGAGTTCAACTGCATCCCAATAAGTTCCTAACCTTAGCCTCCTGAAGATGGGCAGTCTCTAGCATGGCTTCCAGCTCCTGGACAGACATGGATTATTTGGAGGGAAAGACGATTTTGGGTTGACCACAGTTATATACCAAAATCTTTCTTTTCATGTAGGTGTGATGCTCAGATGGTTTATGAGGTTTTAATTTACATTCAAAACAACCATATATTGAAAATGAAGCAAAACAATGCTCTCGTTCTCCTCTAACTGTGCCAAGTCATCGGGGAGTTCGTTCTTCCCATCAGTCAGGATATGCTCCAAACCCTTCACCAAGTCAGTGGTTGACCAAGCCCGGGATAACATACTCTTAGCACTATCCCGGCGTTCAAGTGACATCAGGAAACCTTTCAAGGTAGAGACTGTTTGTCTCGTTGGAGCCCAAAATGCTAAGCAACATGCTGATGCTCATGGGAAAACAAGTCTACAGTTTGTGTGAGACACGCGATCATCGCACTACAGTCAATGAAATCATCTCTGAAGAAGGTGAAACATTTTTTCCCCCAATGCGATATATGTGTTGATGGGAAAACACATCGCTTGAGACACGTTCCTGGATGAATTTCTCTGAGATGCAAAAATTCTCGAATTATTGCCTGTAATTGCTTTTGAGCCTAGCCAAGCGACGAACTATATCATCATTTTAGCTAAATATATCGATATAGTCTGAACAATTTCCCAACAAACTTGAAAAATGTTAACATAAAGTCTTTAAAAATCCATTCCAATTACGGTCAAAAAAACCAGGTTTTTCTCAAAATACCCATAATATTTTATGGGTAAATTATGGGTATTTATGGGTAAATTACGGAATTTTACGCGCTCCAAATTATGGGTACAAATTATGGGTTGGTTTCCACAATAACCAGGTTTTTTTGAGTGATTACGGGTAAATTACGGGCAATTACGGGTAATTACGCGATTACGCAAATTACGGGTTGTTTTGGTTCAAAATGAACATAAATCAAGATAATTTGTCTTAGTGCTACATATTCCCAGAAGATAGTCATATGGAGCCTAAAGCTTTCCAGGCAAATGGTCACGGAAATCCTGGGGAATGTTCAAATTCATTCCGCCCCGTAACCAGTGACACACTGAAACCATGTGGGCGTCTGACCATAGGTCTTCAAAAGACATACTGCTATAGGAAACATGAGCTGGTGGAACTTCTTTGGGCAAGGCTGGCATACCGTACTTCTCAGAACTCAGGCGGTGCCACAAGTCCACCAGCCGAAGTCCAAAACGTGGCGGATAGTTCCTGGGCCAGAGCAGCGATGTCGTGTGAAACACATGGGGCCCCTTATTGTTCATGGAAACAATCTCCAAGGTATCATGTTTACTTCTAGCTAGGTCAAACATTGCAAATATCCTGATTGATGAATTCAACATCAAAAATAAAAGGGTTAAAATGTAGCTCAAGTAGTCATTTCCAATCATTGGGTATGATTCGAAAACATTTGAAAACCATGAAAAAATAAACTTCCATAACCTACGTTTCATTGATTCAAGAACCGATATCTTTAAAGATGCTACTGACCAGTGATTGCGCAAATAAGCCGCTGACTCGCTGGAACGCAGCAATTTACTGCCTTTCCAGCGCTTCTTGCCCCCTTTGTCGATGTATTTGATGACTAGGGACTTTGCCTTACCACTAGCCTTGAGTTTCTCAAGTTGCTGTTTCCAGTTCCTGAGCTTATCCACCCACAACCCAGCAACGTGGGGAGAATTCGCAAGGCAATAGTGGCGCTTCGGTGTGGCACCTCCATAGTGTAGCATATACCATGTCACTTTATGAACCTGGGTTCGCATAGCACGGCGGATTTAGTACGGGGGCATGATCCAACATAGGAAAAATAAACACAACCTACAGTCTCAAAGCTCTTTTGTTTTTTATTGTATTGTCCAAGGACAATGGATTCAAGTCCGTGTGGCTGCAAAAAAAGCAACTTATCTCAAGGTTGGGTTGGGGGACTGGTGAGCACCCCATTATGAACCCTATGAAACTGAAATCGGGTCAAGTAGCTGAGTGTATGCCACCATGTTCTTGAAGCAACAACATCAAATCTCTCCAACGTGGGAAGAACTCGAAGAAGCTTCCATTGGGCTGTTCCACCATTATGCATCCATTTAAGCATACTGCAAGCATCATCAACAATATCATCCTCGGATGGCATTACAACAAAATACAATAAAATGATCTATATACATCTTTTGGAACCCCATATGATTGGTTTGTAAATATACAGTTGATGTACTTCCTAAATGGACTCAAGATAGTATCCAACACTATATCTTTTGTTCATTCAAGGGTCCGTGCAGCTAGGAGGTTAGCTTGCCTGACACTGGGAAAGTCAGTGTTTCCTAGAGCGGTACAGGGGCTTCTGGACGAAGTGCCAGAATTGACCACCGTAAATGAACTGCACTTGAGCCCCCACCAGGATACAAATCCATTGATGGAATCACCACGTAACACTGTAGAAATTGCTGTCCTTAGCTGAGCCAATGTGTTCCCATTGAGCTTGCCCTAAGTATTTGGTAAAACACAATCCCCATAGAGCTCAAATCACCGATAAATATCCCTGATGAAGTATAAATTCGAAAGTATTTTTTTGCTACCAAAGGTCGCCATTCCTGCATCAGTTGTCAGATCCATTGGGTTTTGGCGGCCCTTTTCCGCTGACATGTACATTATGTCCAATTTAGCAGTCTTGAAGCCCCCATAGTCAAACATTCTGGTGGCCTCTGCCTGACCGGCGAAGAACTCCATCCATTGGATAGATCCATTGTCCTGCATGACAGAGACATAAAAGGGCAACCACATAGTTTCAAATCAACTAAAAAGTTTTGAACCCTTTCATCGTGTTGAAACCGATTTCGCAGACCCAAGCCAATCCTCCACACTGGGATCCAACGGCACGCTCGTCCATATAGTCAACAAAGTAGCAAGGACCAGTACCTAAGATCAATGACACGATTATTGACAGCTACAAGATTTGTTCATTGATCAGAACCTTCAAGAAACTGATATACCCTATCCAAAGCAGCCACATGCACATATAAAAATACAGATAGGCTACCTTCGGTGCTCCAAATGTCTTAAGCCGACAGCAGAGCTCATCCACAAAACGTTTCGAAAATTTCATGGCAGGGACCGGAGCAGAGCTGGAGGATAGAAAACATTGACACCATACAGGATATCACAGGGTCATACAAGGTTAGCCACATACTTTCTGTTTGTGTAATGCATACATCCCTTTCTTCCAGGTCCAGTCTGTTCATGTTTCCCAAATGGCTGCGCAGCTGCCTGGAGGTAAACACTGTCAGAGCTGGAGAGCAAACATCACACACTCTTGTGTCTAGGCTGCGTTCGTTAGTATTGCCATTGTTTTCATAGATTCGGGACGTGAGGAATTGT